GCACCATAGATACCTGCAGGCGAAGAGAGCGGACCCTGAGGAACATGCTCGACGCGCCGCCCCAGGCGGATTCCCTGAAGACATCGCCAGGCTTACCCTGCGATACAAGCCAGGGTGCCGATGTAAAAAGAACCCAATCGTCGGAGCTTATGAGAAGAGGCCAACGGATGAAACACACCCCGCAACATGGGTGGAACGCTTCGTATCCCCCTTTAACGACGCCAGCTGCACAGTAGTCTATTACTCTTCCTTTGAAGAAGACATGGTCTTCGGTGCAGCGCATGATGCCTACTCCCAGCCTTTCACTGGGATATCCATTGCCTTCCCAGAGGCAACAACGCAGGCATGCATGCATGCTATACACTGGGCACTTGCATGGGCGCACGAGGCGCGCGGATCGGACGCCCCCACAGCGACCCTCGTCGTTCTCCCCCGCCAACCTACAGCCTTGTACAACACGCTTCTGTCCAACCCGCATGTGAAGTGGGTAGGGGAGGCGCCCCCCACCCACCCCGCGGCATGCTTAATACCGGACCAAGCAGCACTGGGGGAAAGCAGCGCACATGCCAGGAACCCATACGCACGAGGACTAGATTTCCTGCTGATAGGAAACCCCGCGGGCCTGAGATACAGCGCCGCCCTGCAACGAGAGCTTAGCTTAGAGAAGCCACGACATGCTCCCCACCCCCGCACGATCAACACGAGTGGGGAGGAAGAACATGAGCAACGCATAGCAGGCTGGAAGGCCCCCCAATGGGTAAAACGGAGAGTGCACCAGATGACAACATCCCCACCATCCCCACCTCGCCGAACAGTCGCCACAGAAGACCTCGACTCCACCACGCTGACATCCTACTACCCCGCAAAGGTGTCACTGCGATACGACGCCTGCAACGGCATTTACACAGACGGCAGTGTGCAAAAGGATGGCAGCTTCAATCGCCTAGGAGCAGCAGCAATAGACGCGTCCACAGGCAATACCACCTACATAGATGTAAACGGGGGCTGCCACGGGTGCCAGACGATAACAAGGTGCGAACTCAGCGCCATGCTACATGGGCTGCGAATGCGTGAAGGCACACCCGCGGCAGAGGAGGACCTTACCATATGGACAGCCTCTGCTGCAGCACTATACCTCGTGAGAAAGGCTATCAACGGCCTCCATCAACCAGATAGGCTTCGGCAAGCATGTAGCAATTGTGGAAAGTATCGTCGAAATTCTCGCCCACAGAGCTAAGAAAGGCCTTAAAACATATCTCCTGAAAGTAAAATCACACATCGGTGTAACCTACAATGAGGCGGCCGACCAAGCGGCAACAAGCGTGGCGAGCGGTAAGAAGGAAGCCACGATAAAAGAAGAATGCGATAACAATCCCAGGAGCAAATACTACTGGCTGGTGTCTAAAACGTCAGGGTACTACACCAACGACCTCAACGTTGGGATGAGGATGACCACCGTTACCCCCAGGTCCGGAGCGACCTACAGGTTAAGGAGGGTATCAAGAACCACTTCGACTTTGCATGCGTCGCATTCATTGCATACTTCACGGCTTAACGTTCTAAATGGAGCAGCAGATAGCCGTATGACCCTTCTGTACGGGGCCAAGAGCCCTGCTTACGACTCTCAATATAAGCAGCGACACTGACCGTTATTCAACACCTACGCAAAATCCCCAACTTCCAGAAAAGGAGGGGTATTAAGAACCACCCTGAAAGTTGCGAAAAAGCCAGCTTAGACACATTCCCGCACCGGGGAAACTTCAGCAAGCAGCTAATATAGCTATCAGAGGCTATGGACATGCTAGCTGGCGTCTGGGGTTCACCAGTTGTGACCGCCGAGGTGAATTGCCATCATGGGCAAGCATCAGATCCTGATCCGTCATCATTGCACCTATGCTACTAAACAACATCCAAGTCTTATATATGTGTCCTATAACGCATCTATGCAGCGCGTTTATGACTGGAAGGACGCTTAGGGCATAATTGGGCTCTTGGTATATGTTCTCCTTCAACCTGGTGTTGCACCCCGTTCCCCCGTTCCCCTTACTGTAAGTGACCTGTTGCAATTCCTTGGAAACTGTTGTACGCTTAGCTTTCCTTGTCTGCATATTATGGCTTTTTATCGTTACTCCTCTGAATTGTCGCTTGGGGTTGCACATTTCTGTTGGCATGGCATCCGTTCTCAAGCGCTGGTCTTATGCAAGTGAGGTACTGTTGCAACCGGTACCATACTTGTAGCCCGGATGTTGCCAGTGTGGTCGGGAAATGGACTGCGCATTTATACTACATAAACTGCCCAGCGGCTGCATGTGCCCAATGGTGCTATTTTGCATACCGTTTTCAGTTGTCCCCCTCTACGACAAAGGAAGCTGCGCGAAGGTGTCAGCTCGCTTGAGCGACTGAGGCTGCGAACTAGCGTGGAGTGTCGCAGCCGTCTGTGGAGCTCTTGCCTCCCTTGGCACCTTATGCATCTTGGTGGGGGAAGGGGCTGGTGCCCCTTCCCCCATACCCCCATCCCCCCTTACATGCATGTATACATGGTGCTATCTTGCAAACGCCTCTGATGCATCAAGGGATAAACGTTTGCTCTTGAAATGCGTTGCCTCCGACCTGATATTGCACCATTCCTCCATTCCCCTTGCTGTAAGTGCCCTGTTGTTGCAATTACTTGGGATTTCTTGTACGCTTGGCTTTCCTTGTCTGCATCTTATGGCTTTTTGCCGTTGTTTCTCTGGATTGTCGCTTAGTTGCAATTGTTTTTTTTGGCATGGCGTCCGGGCTCAAGCTCAGGTCTTATGCATGCAAGGCACTGTTGCAACTGGATATATATTATTCGCAGCCACGTGTAGACCGAATGTTGCCAGTGTTGCGTGGTCGGGAAAGAGACTGCACTTGTTGAGCGCATGTCGGTGACGTCGATGCTAAAGCTTAGGTCTTCCGCAGCCGCCGTAGCTATGCCTCATGTTAAATTCCTGTTGCGGCGTTTGCCAAATGCTACCTGTTGTCATGGGAGGAGCTGCTGTTTGCTAGCAGCAATGCAGTACAATTAGCCTTTTTGCGACTTTAGCCAGGATCCGCCTTTGCCCTGCCTGCATTTATACTACGCAAACTGCCCAGCGACTGCATGTGCTCAATGATGCTACTTTGCATACCGTTTTTAGTTGTCCCCCTCTACGACAAAGGAAGCTGCGCGAAGGTGTCAGCTCGCATGGGTGCCGCTGCCCCCAGGTCCGGAGCGACCTAGGCGTACGGCCCCGTTTTTGCTTTTTCCTTTATTCTAGTCTTTTTGCAAATATTGACTGTGTCTTCCTAAGTGCCAGGTGAATGGGCGCTTAAATCAGCCTCGCCCACTTGAAAAGTCCGCTTGCAAGTCTGTCAGCGCATTTCCCCAGCAAAAGACGCATGTCGCATGTACCGTTATGGTAGCAATGATTTGTAAGCAAGACCTAAGAGCTAAGTCAGTTTATTAGACGAAAGTTTGCGGAAATGTGGCTTTTGCCGAGCCGTCCTGAGCCGTTATACCATTTTAAGGCTAATTACATGTCATAAGGATACCGGACAAATTTAGCAAACAGTAGGTCCATGGCAAGCGAAGATGGCGGTAGTATGTCCTCTGAGTACGCTTCCGACTACCACAGTGACGATGATGACGCATATAAAGATGCCAATGAAGGTTTCGAGGACGACCTATCACTCACCGAGGAAGTATCATCGGAAGAAGCCGAGAATGCCGGCTAGAGGGATATGGTGGAGTTGGGGCAGGCTGCAGCTGATGGGGACACATACCCCTTCATTGACATAGGCGTCTTTGTGAGTATCGCTCCGCCATACGGTTTCCCTTATGCTTTACTTTCCCTGTCTGTGATTCCAACTGCACTCCCACTGGGTATTCCCTTCATTCTCCTTAACACAAGGCTTGTACTTCCGTGCTGTATATAGCCGCCCCCCATTCCTTTAGGAGTGTATGCGCCATTCCCCTACCGCATTCCCCCATGCGTTTACTTAAGCGGATACCGTGACTAACGTCATGCACCTCTGTGCCGTAGGAGGTTGATGATTTGGATGACGAGGACACTTCAGGCAACTTACCGGTAGGTTTCTATGCCCCATGCTGCGTGTAGACAGGCTACCATGTGTCAACAGAAGCCGCAGCACTTATGCCCCGTAACCTTCTTTGGCAAGCAAACCGCACGGTTGCTTTGTATGTGCGCAGGATACCTCTCGCGGGCACAAGGATGGGCCACCTGTCGGTGAAGTGGCTGGTAGGTTTTCGGTCCTTTGCACTTCAGAGGGCCTCCACCCCTGCCTTGAAGCCCCCCCAAGCCACCACCTGGGAAAACCGATCGTTGCCTTTTGCGCCGAAACTTTGGGAATGGTTCCTGTTAGGTAACACAAAGTTGAGGTTAAATGGCCTGGGTGCAAAGGCACCGGTCACTGGGAGGGGCGGGCAAGCACATGTGGGGAAACATGTTGTGGACAGGGGTACCATGGTGACCCCCCCCCCCCCCCCCCCCCCCCCCCCGGTGGCAAGGGCAGGCGCGCTGAGCGGCATCATAATGCCATCGCCAACAGCAGTCAGCCTTCCATTAAACGAGGACGGCGCCTGAATTGAGTGCTCGGTTCGATACAACTCTCCGGAAGCGAGCACATGCATCATGCCAGGTTGCGCGCGGAACCATGGCGCAGAGCAAACAGAGTACATGGGTCTTGCCTGCTGAGTAAATACGTTGTCCAGGTTATAGACATTTTCCTTGCTGTCAGTGAATGGGGAAGCCATCTGAGCTTTGCTGGATGGGGAGGGCTGACGACGCGGTCGCAAGCGCGCAACAATAGTGGTTTGTGCCGAAATGACACCAATCACTTCCAATAATTATTGGGCAGCTAGTAAGGCTTTTTAAAAGCAAAAAAGCTTACGAAAGCGGAAATTCTTATGGCTGGTGCCGTACGCCTAGGTCGCTCCGGACCTGGGGGTAACGGTGGTCATCCGTCACCTGGTGTAGCAAACTAACACCTGGAACAGAATATGTCCTTGCCTGCCGAATTACCGACATTAAATTACTGTCTGCGACCTTGAGTGTTTCATCCTCCAGACATGGAAGTCGTGATCCATCGGGGTTTCCTTAGCTACAAACGTGGCGGACGAGATGAGCGGATTGCACGAAGGCTCTATGACACATTTCGCAATAACGGCGTAAACATGTTCTCAGATTTCGGGGACTTGCACACAGGAGTGGGCTTCGAAGACCAAATTCGCGAGGCGTGCGAAAACTCTGCGGTCTTTGTCTGCATCCTCTCCATACGCTACGTGCAGAGTTATTGGTGCATCCAGGAGCTTCTCTTTGCTCGTATGGCCGAAAGGAGGATTCTCCCCATCTTTATCGACGAGGCGGGCGACGTCTCGAGGGCACTGCCAGCAGCGGAGATCGCGGCAAGGCTTAGATCAAGCGGCTGGGAACCTATGACGGGGGTAGGCCCTTAGCACTTATGCCAGCTATGTTCCAGTGCCAAGTTGCTCACTGCGGAAGAGCACAGTGCACGGCAAACCCATATGTCGGCTGGCTAAATGTGAGATGCACGATGGATTGCATACTTAACACGCCCTGCGCGAAAACGGAAATCTGCAGCTAGCCGGTCACGTTGGGGGCTTCTTGTGCATCTGTTGACGTTTCCCTGATATATACTGCCCTCAGAACACTGTGAGGAGCGCGTACAACAGTGCTGCATCGGTTCAGGCGCTGCTCATGACCGGGGACGACGATGGGCCGATGCAACGGTTTGCAGCACCTGCCTTGGACATTATTCAGGAGGAGAGCTCGAGCTGCATGTGGCGCATGTGGGACCACAACCCAAGCTACAGGAGCCTGGTAAGCCGAGTACACAGCCTACTGTCGACCTCATTGTAGCCCTATGTCACAAGTGTCTAACCGGGCCAGACACTGCTGAGAACAGCTGAACATGCCATAACGAGAGTAGATAAATTGAGCAAGGAAACACTGACCGTGAACGTAGGAAGACGCTGATGACGGCGCCCAACGGAAGATACCAATGTGGTGGAGAACTTAGCCCTTGGCCCGTTATGTTTCTTAGGCAATTTGATGTGTATTGTACAGCAACAGCAAGGCGCTTGCAGCATTCATGCTGAAAAACAGTCACCAGCGTCTGGTTCTGGACCAGTACACCTCAACGTGCAATATGTGTAAGTTTGTCCGAAGAATAAGGATGCAGCCTTGCAGCGGCACTTACATTGCGAAACGTAAGAGCATACAGTATGTAACATTCGGTGACGGTAGGAATAGAAGAGCGCATGCCTTGCTCGGAAAGGCTAGCGGGGGACTTGCACTGCTAGGAAGAGCGCCCGTTTGGGGGTAAATAGTAAAAGTGAAGCAACGGAGTCTCAAACCATATTACCGAATGCTTGCTTACCAAAGACCGAGACGACTTGATGAAGATGCCGCCTGGTAAAATATGTGCCGCGTCGCCAGTTGTTAATCCAAAGGCAGCGCTAAGGACGTCGATGGTAATGTACTATGGTAAGAGTAAATGAAGCACCAGTTGTAAGGAAAGCCCGTTGGATGGAAGGGTAGATGTAACGTCAGTAAGCAGGATAGCTATTCACTACCCCGCAGAAGTCCGTGGGGTCGGTAGTTGCCTTGCGGGCATTTTCAATGTAGCTTTGGCTGAGCCCATTGTAGCGTTGTTGTATTCAGAACTCAACTAGCGTCTTGATTGTATATTTGCGTTTTCGCTAAAAGCCGCATTTGTTAGCAACGACCAATCAACTGACCGAGCCAAGTCCCGCCTCACAGCCAAAATGCACTCGTTTGCCTCATTCGCTTTCTACCTGCCATTGCCAACGGCCCCGCCTAAGCGATCTCATGGCATGCCCATGTGTAGTGTGCCCGCGTGTAGAGGTACACTGGTTGGGCTGGTGTGTCTAAATACTGTGTGTGAAGGGTCTAAGTAGTGTGGGTTGGATGTGGGTTGGCCGTGCCTGGCGTCTGAGTGACAAGCAAGAAGGTGCACATATGCTATGCAGGCTGCTGTCCAATGCAACGTTCTACAGGTATGGGTGGGTCGGTCTGGGCAAGCTTGCCAGCCTGACAGATGTCGTGGGTTGTCATTGTGAAACCCAAACCTTCTTTAGGAAGCGGAAGTTACACTGGAGGACAGTAGCTGAGACCATCGTCAGATGTACATTCTAACAGGGCGTCGACCGCCCTACCCCAGGGGGCACGCCGTGCACAAGGCAGGGAACTGTGCCCGTTAGGAGGAATAGCGTCAATGTACGGCAGACCTCATAAACATTTGGCGACATTAAGGCGCCTGGCACGTGACACGCGGGTGCATTGGGAACGGAAGCTGATAATCGATGTTAAGGGCGAAACTGCAACACAGAAGGATGCAGGAAGACAGAGAGACCGTATTAACTGCAGATTGGACGGAGGAATACGGAGGGACAGCAATTGTGTGCGACGCTGCTGTGATGTGAACAGGCCGCAGCGACAAAAAACGCATGAAGAAAATGGCGGTGAAGAACATAATCTAATTGTGCTTATTAGGAAAAGAGGCGACGCGACAAGTGCAACGCGGTTATACAACCAACTGTAGCCTCAGCCCCCTGACCTCCTTCCCAACATCTGCTACCCAGATCCCTAAGCGGTACCTGTTCATTTCTCAGCAATCCATACTGCAAAAGCAAGAGAAGGCAGTGCTAGGTGTGCGGCACATAGTAACGGTCAGTGTATGAACTGTAGCCTGCAGCTGTCCTTTTTTTACGTTTTGTGTTTGTGACGCTCTACCGCCTCCCATCCCCTTTGCTTTGCCCTTACTGAAATTTCCTATGGCTTGGTAACTTGACATGTTGTTTATTCCCCATCCGCTACCCGCCTGCCCTCTCGCAAACCCTTTCCCAGAGTAGAAATGTTTACGGAAAAAATAGCCCACCAACGAATATTGAGCTAGAAGTGTGATGAATGGCGTTCACGTGACCAGCAGACCAGGAGGCGCCTCATCATCTTTAGTCATCCAATGTCCCCCACCTCCCTCCACCCCGCCCAATCCACGCTGTGCGTGAGAGGCCGTGCAGGCCAGCCCCTCCCCTAACAGTAGGTGGCAGCATGATTACGTGATGCGTTTTAGGGTATATATACAAGAAGCACGGGGAAGGCGAAAAATGAGGCCCTTCCCCTACCACAGCCATGATGAGGACCTGTCAAGCCCCAGGACTGAAATGAGCAAAACAATGACATGGGGTATGACACTAAAGCGGGGCTTTCCACTCGACAACCCGATGTGAAGGTTGAGGAGTGGCCGGTGCTGGCATGAGCACCAGGGATTAGTCGGCTGCCTGAGAATGAGGACTTATGCCGACGCGGAATGTGGCCAGGTGACACTCTGCACCAGGTTGTGGTAGCCAAAGGCGCCGCCCGGTAACCCCTATAAGCGCTGGCGATTCCATAAGCAGTACGACGTGCCGAGACGTCGCAGAGGCCCGGCTAGGCAGGCGGCTGTGACCATGCTTTCCCGATTGCCGGCGCTGAAACGGCCACTAGATAGCAGACTGGTGTACTAACTAGGTGCTACACGATAGGGCTGGCCAAGCCGGCTATTGCGGTGCAGCGGTGATGGCGCTATGCATAACAATACTCAAATGCTTAGTACATACCTAATAGGCTTTGTGGAACTCTGCGGCGATTACATGGTTGTAATCCCACCATGCGGTAAAGCATCATGGAGGCCACGAAAAGCGCCGACCAGGCGCAATCCGAAGGCAAAGACTGCGGCACAAGATCTGTCGCTCCAGGGAAGCAACAACGAACAGATACACGAACGCGGCAACTCAACCACTGGTATCACTCAACCGCTGGTATAAAAAGAAACCTAAAGATAACTGCAAGTGTCTACGAGTTGGACATGCTTGGGCGATGCAAGCAACCAACCGACCTGCTCTGAAACCACGGACCATGATTTCGCATACGCATGGTTAGGACACGACAGACCCCCATGCCCCCAAACCGGTACCCTTCCTAGTTGTGCAAGTCCCCCCGCTAGCCGGTGAGCAAGTATAGCTGATGACAAGGCGACCCAACCGTAGGTGGCAGTACCGTGTCGTTGCTGTACAATACAGCTGAACAATACACCCTAATTTGCCTAAGAAAAGAGTAACGGGCCAAGGACTAAGTTAGGAAGCGCGGAATGTCAATGTACGGCAGAGCTCATAAACATTTGGCGACATTAAGGCGCCTGGCACGTGAAACGCTGGTGCATTGGGAACGGAAGCTGATCATCGATGTTAAGAGCGAAACCGCAACGCGGAAGGATGCAGGAAGACGCACGGAGAGACCGTACTAACTGCAGATTGGACGGAGGAATACGGAGGGACCGCAATTGTGAACGGGCCGCAGCGACAAAAAAGCTTTAAGAACATAATTCAATTGTGCGTAGGAAAAGAGGCGATGCCACAAGTGCAAAGCGGTTATACAACCAACTGTAGTGTAGCAGGGATGGTTACACTTAGACAGAAATGCCACGGCATGGATGGATAAGAGTACCGACCGACAATAATGCTACAATAATTATATATCAATATGCAGCCCGCGAAGCGGGGCATAATAATAATGTAATAAACAATTAAGGAAATAAGATATAAGGTAGAACAATCCCTCTCCTGTGGTGTGTAGATTGGGATTGCTAGGTGCAGACGCATGGTCGTACACCGATCGGTCGGGTGGAGCCAGGCAGCCGCCGGCACCGCACGACACACGGATACGGGGTCCGTGATGCATAAAAGCCCTTGGGGTAGAGCAGGTGCTATCACTTATTACACACTGTGATTCAGGTCCGAGTCCTGACTACGAGCCCGTACTGACTCCTTCGGGAATCAACCTAACAATACTCTGCACATTCTCCTTTATCTTAAGATCCTACGCTTCCGCACTTAACTATCTAGGATAGTAGCGTATCTACGTTACATGTAGCCTCAGCCCCCTGACCTCTTTCCCAACATCTGCTTACCAGATCCCTAAACGGTGCCTGTTCATTTCTTAGCAATCCCATACTGGGCTAAAGCAATCAGTGCTAGGTGTGCGGCACATAGTAACGGTCAGTGTATGAACTGTAGCCTGCCCACCCCCCCCTCCCCCTCCCCCGGCCCCCTAGGAACCCAATGGTAAAGCCCCATCAAACAGCTCGTGAGATTCCTCGTTTTTCCACCCCCCACCTGCGCTGTGCTCGAGCCCGTGCAAGCCACAAGGGCCCCCTCACCCCAAACCAGTACCCTTCTTAGGAGTGCATATTCCCCAGCTAGCCTTTACTTGCTCCCCATGCCGTGTGCTAGCATAGCTGGCAAGGCATGCGCAAGCGCCCTTCTTTTCCTATCGTCACCATTGACTGCTGTTGTATTACGCTCTGTACTTAGCGTAATCTGAGTAGCAGCTGTGGCTACTAGTCTTACAGCTGTACGTAAGACTCTGTAAACCCGTTACTGTTTCTATTACAGTCGAGACACTGGTCTCTGGTGTTTAACTGCCTACCGATTACTGTACGTACTGATACGTCTGCCTGGGTCGTCATCTGCAACTTCGAGGCCTGTACGACAACCTCGTACCGTCGACGCCGCCTACTTCGGGCTACGCCCACCCTAATCGGTAGTTTTCACTACCACCATCTTTGATGGACTTAGATATTGGATACCACAACTGCCACGTACTATGTGCTTTTACATTTGCTTTACACCAAACCATGATTTGCTGCAAGAGCCCGTGTTGTTGCTGTACAATACAGCTGAACAATACACCTCAAGTTGCCTAAGAAAAGAATAACGGGCCAAGGGCTAAGCTCACAGATAGGTCTAAGTCTAGGAAAATATTTCACAACAAACGAAGGACCACTGCAGCCGTACCGAATAGGGCTCCTTTTTCGGCCTGCCCCTTGATTCCAGGTGCTCCGCTAGGCCTCGGCTTGAAAGCAAGGGAACAGCCACAGGGATACCCCGGTGGATTCCTGTAAACCTTTTCCGAAACCAACTGAATGTAGCCCAGTAAGCAACAAGAAGGGAGGGAGAATGCAACAAAGATTGTGTGTTGTATACCCAAAAGTAATTAGGCCGGTCCCTTGTTGCGACTCAAGCGATGGCACCCATCAACATGAAGTGAGCCGACGAGTTTCCATAAAACACAGCAATACGTCGCAAAGACAGGTAGCAAATAGCAACCCTTTGAGTATGGAGACGGCGAGGAAGTACATTACTACTTTCTCATTGATTGTACCAACAATCGAGAAAGCGGATACTATAATGATGCATGCTTTAATTCTGTCTACTTTGCGTACTTCGAACGTAACCCGTTCTGCAATACCAAGGAGGCAACAATACCACTAAACGTACACCGAGGGCATACGATGCTAGCTAGCATTTTTAATTATGCGCACGTACTACAACAGCTGCTGCTCTGGAAAACTTACCCAGCAGTACGTTTTTTACTTGGTACCAGACCCGCTGCGACCCGCTGTTTACTTATATGCACATGTGCCCATGCCGCATGTATGCCTCATTCCTATTCCTCCCGACTCAAAATTGCTGGTGCTCGCAGCTTGACGACATGAACTCCAGGTTCCTGTGCTGTGTCAACAGTCTCCGGCAGGAGGAAGACGACCATGAGCTCATAGCCGATGTCCGCTTGATCCGTGCTGCTATGAGGCGGGCGGAAGCACTGATGGCGGGCCAGGCGGGTGGAGGATTTGACTCTTACCTCCGTGCGGCTGGCGTTGGCTACCGTTCCGCCAAAGAACATCGGGGCTACAACCACGACCTGGATGGTGTCATGGAGCACACAGGGCAGTCAACCCTGCACCACATGTACACACACATTGGCTGGGGCGTCAGAAGTACCAACGGGGGAAGGCATTACTGGGTGGTGCTGCTCGTGGAGGCCCTCTAGTGTATGACAGGTGAGAGGCAACTGGAATTTTATATGATGTGATTTGTTACGATCTTGAGACAGATAGTTTGCTATATCGGAGTGGCAGGGGAGTAGCAACTATAACTATACAAATTAGGTTGTATAGGTCAGATGTAAGTAAAGCTGTCCCTCTTGAGGTATCTCAATGCTTGTTCGTTCCAGCGTTCAGCATACATTGTCCCTGTTTTGTTGCTCGTAACTCCCCATCGCCCTCCCTGACAGGCACCTTCAGCGACATTCGAGAGCGTGTGAGTGTGGCAGGCAACACTAGAATACGACGTGCAGGCCGTCATGTTCGTTTTGAATGGCGGTAATAAAGAAACACGCCGAAGTTACCGCACGTTTTCCTCGTGTGACCAGGTATGTTACTCGAGCCTTGTTTGGTCTGCTTTTGACATTTAGTGCGGGCATCGGGGTTTTACGGCCACGGATCACCACAGTTGCGGTGCTTGCAACCAACTTCATAGTTAACCTGTGTGGACTGTCGCTAAATTTGAAGTGCCATGGGTTTGGCATGCACCCTAAGAAGGTACACGCACTAGCTTCCCGTTTGTTTTTTTGTTGTGGTCACGTTTATTTAGCAAACCCGGTACGTGTTCGTGGCTGTCGGCAATGGGTGTAGATTTACGGTCGTGCACCTAACCGTTGTGGTCCTGAGGCTTTGGCGTCAGGAAAAGGTGGTGCGTTTCTCACCTGGAACGTGTTCACTTCTTGGCCTTAAGTGTAGTCCGGTAAATGGTCGATCTATGGTGTTGTAGAAGTGGCGATGTGGTGGGAGAGCTGTTTACGCCGCCATGTCCTGGCCATTCTTAGCAAGCTTAGTACGGGTTCGGTAGGTGTTGTCGGCATAGTATGAGTTCGAGTTTGGCTGCCCAAGGTCCAGAAGGCTGACGGAAAATGTCATTACAGGTTCCCGCGTGCGCCTGACAGCTTGTTGAACCTGTTCTAACCTATCTTGCTAAAACATGTATTGCCGCTTGCATGATCTGGTAATTGGTTGGGAGTGCCGTGTGTGTGGCGAGGAGGTAGGTTTGTAGGGGCTTTATGAGGCGGCCACAACGGCCTGGCCACCCATGTGTTCTACGACAGTTTGGTTATGGTAGTTGGCATGCGTGTGCTCCTAGTTTACTACTGCCCCGTTGCTTTGTAGGGGCTGTATGAGGCGGCCACAACGGCCTGGCCACCCACGTGTTCTACGACAGTTTGGTTATGGTAGTTGGCATGCGTGTGCTCCTAGTTTACTACTGCCCCGTTGCTTTGTAGGGGCTGTATGAGGCGGCCACAACGGCCTGGCCACCCATGTGTTCTACGACAGTTTGGTTATGGTAGTTGGCATGCGTGTGCTCCTAGTTTACTACTGCCCCGTTGCTTTGTAGGGGCTGTATGAGGCGGCCACAACGGCCTGGCCACCCACGTGTTCTACGACAGTTTGGTTATGGTAGTTGGCATGCGTGTGCTCCTAGTTTACTACTGCCCCGTTGCTTTGTAGGGGCTGTATGAGGCGGCCACAACGGCCTGGCCACCCACGTGTTCTACGACAGTTTGGTTATGGTAGTTGGCATGCGTGTGCTCCTAGTTTACTACTGCCCCGTTGCTTTGTAGGGGCTGTATGAGGGCGGCCACAACGGCCTGGCCACCCATGTGTTCTACGACAGTTTGGTTATGGTAGTTGGCATGCGTGTGCTCCTAGTTTACTACTGCCCCGTTGCTTTGTAGGGGCTGTATGAGGCGGCCACAACGGCCTGGCCACCCATGTGTTCTACGACAGTTTGGTTATGGTAGTTGGCATGCGTGTGCTCCTAGTTTACTACTGCCCCGTTGCTTTGTAGGGGCTGTATGAGGCGGCCACAACGGCCTGGCCACCCATGTGTTCTACGACAGTTTGGTTATGGTAGTTGGCATGCGTGTGCTTAGTTTACTACTGCCCCGTTGCTTTGTAGGGGCTGTATGAGGCGGCCACAACGGCCTGGCCACCCATGTGTTCTACGACAGTTTGGTTATGGTAGTTGGCATGCGTGTGCTCCTAGTTTACTACTGCCCCGTTGCTTTGTAGGGGCTGTATGAGGGCGGCCACAACGGCCTGGCCACCCATGTGTTCTACAAGAGTTTGGTTATGGTAGTTGGCATGCGTGTGCTCCTAGTTTACTACTGCCCCGTTGCTTTGTAGGGGCTGTATGAGGCGGCCACCACGGCCTGACTGCCGTCATGTCTATCTAGGTCCCGTATACAGGGCAAGCGAGGCACAGCTTGTCCACCCATGTGTTCTACGACAGTTGATTTGGTTATGGTAGTTGGCATGCGTGTGCTCCTAGTTTACTACTGCCCCGTTGCTTTGTAGGGGCTGTATGAGGCGGCCACAACGGCCTGACTGCCGTCATGTCTATCTAGGTCCCGTATACAGGGCAAGCGAGGCACAGCTTGTCCACCCATGTACGGCTAGCAAAGGGAGCGACTGTGCCTGCAACATGGCTTCATACCAGGTGTATCCTGCTGTAGGCGTATGCGTCTGTTTTCTATTCATCAATGTCATGACTGTTCTGTGATCCATTGTCGTGCAAGTTGCAGCAGAGGCATCTAACACTGTGCTATGGGTCATGGTATTAACTGCACCAGTAAGGTCCTCGCCCGGATTGTGGGCTCTGAGCATGATCGCGATTTCGGCCCAGATTCTGGGCTCTGAGCATGCTCAGAGCCCATGATCAGGGCTCCATGCGCAAGGCACGCATTTCCAGGCATATAACCACCGCACTGGATAGGTTAACGTAGTCGTTTAGCTATGCAGCAATCGCGAGGGGCATTGGACAACCCGGGCCCCACCTAGGAACAACGAGCCCAGTATATGGGCTCTGAGCATGCTCCGAGCATGCTCAGAGCCCATGATCAGGGCTCCATGTATGCGCAAGGCACGCATTTCCAGGCATATAACCACCGCACTGGATAGGTTAACGTAGTCGTTTAGCTATGCAGCAATCGCAAGGGGCGGCATTAGACAACCCGGGCCCCACCTAGGAACAACAAGCCCAGTATGTGGGCGCCACAATCACGGCTACGGACTCCCTATACATAGGCCATGAGGTGGCTAAGAGCTGGGGTCGTTGTCAAGTCATATGCATGCGTGGCAGGGCTGAACGCAGGGTACGAGCGGTAACTGGAGCGCGGCTGCGAAACTGTTTTAACAAATTGACCTCCGTGCAAAAACCCTGCGAAACTATGCAATAACTGCGAAACCTCTAAATTGAAGCGTATTTTCAGGGGAATGCGTTGCACCACGCAATCACACTGACAGGCTCGCGCTGGCTCAAAGGAGGCGCTAAAGGGAGCGCGCAGCAGGTGGAGGCCCCCAATATGCCTTCCTATTAGGGTGTCCTTAAGTGGTGTGTGCGTCATGGGATAAGGGGACGGGATTGGAGGAGTGTAGTTGAAGTGGGACAGGTGGGGTATAGTGGGGTGGGGTTCGATGGAGTTAGATGGGATGGCAGCCCCAGCCCTGTTACCCACGCATCCAACCCTCGAAGGCAGCATTTCAAAGGCAGCACAATTGTCATGCAATGTTGAGTGCCATTGCCAAGCCCTGGCGCGGTATGGAGCTCTTTGCTGACTAGGTCAACGCGACATGCAGTGGTAATGGCACGGGAACACCACTGATTTGACGCAACAAAGATAATGTCTGATGCTCAGAGGGCGCATATTGTACATCCTAGAGTCCTGCAAGGCTTTTACCGCAAGCTCAGAAAGGAGCTTCATGTACAGCAAGCGTCGAAACTGCAAAAACTAGTTTCGGCATTTTGGCAAGCCAGCTCCGGGTTGCAATATCTAGTTAAAACCGTTTCGCGGAGTTTATGTTTCGCGGAGTTTCGGTTACCGCTCGAACCCTGGCTGAACGTGCTGGTTTGACCCTGGATGCTAGCACCACCGCCGAGGGGTTAGATACTCAGTGGACTGTTAACCGGTACCCGTGGGATTGCCTGCGGGCTGTGTTCCAACACCCTACTGCAGCGAACGATATTGCTTTTTATCGCTCTGTGAGTCCTACCCGCCATGTGGTCTACGTGCTCGCTTCTGAAAGTAAAGACATACGCGTCATGCTGCATATGTCTTTACTCTATTGCAAGGATTAAACCTTTCCTATAAATGGTGACCCCTTCCACGCAACAAAGAGTTTTTTCCGGTCTACATGTATGTCCGTCTTAACTTAACGACAGCTAGTCCACTTCCTGCTCTTTCCACTTCTGCTGTTTTAACGTGTCCATTCGCCTGGCGGCACACGCGGGCGTGGCAGCCAGTCCGGCGCGGTAAAGACCAATCGACATTGACGCTTCCAGTTGCAGCACCGTGTACTCCCTCCGCTGTGCATTAGACCTTTGCAGCTTACACCGTAGCATGCGGTATGACCCTTACGCAAGCAAAGCCTAGAGTTCGGAAAACGTCCCTCTGCCAGCATCGCAACCTTTATTTGGGAGCGGTGATCCTGTCCTTTGGCAATCACTACCTAGCACTAACAATAGCACAATATGAAACCTAGTTATCTGTATGCTAAAATGTGACTTGCTCGTCGACGAGGGTGAAATGGTGGCGCTGAACATAAATAACACTACTGTGGGGCGTTTAATAGACCATTTATGTAATAAGAGCCCGTGTGAGGCAGTTGATTAAGTCATGCACCCTATATATTCTAAGCAAGCATGCTCAGAGCCCGGATTCTGGGCGGGGACATAGCTGCCTGCTGGGAGTGCAGCAACGCGTTAAATCTGGGCCGTCATATATAGCCATATATTAAGCCTATTTGTCCATGCTATTAAAAGCCGAAATCTCGCCACTTTATTTCCGAGCATGCTCAGAGCCCATAATCCTGGGCTTTATTGCGAGCATGCTCAGAGCCCACAATCCGGGCGCGGACCCAACTCACTGCACCACCACTTGCTAGCTGCCGCGTCGCGTCCACCCTGGGACGCGCGAAGCGCATGTGCGTCGTCCTAATCTGCAAGCGAGTCGCACCTTTCGTAGGTATGTGTTGCTGTGCTTCTTTAATGGTCTAAAATGTCATGCACTGACCTTTATTCTTTTCTACGTTTGCGGCGCGTCCATCGCTTCACGTGGTATTTGCGGCGTAGCTTTGAACGTGTGCATTGCATCTTGCATACGCCAGCCAAGGTTCCACGCCGGCGCCCTCTGATTTAGTTTCCAAGCGATCGTCTCAAATACTTACTTCAATAGCGATTGTGATCAGCCTGTCTTACAGCAGAGTAGCGTGACAGCCTGAGCTCGTTTCGGCAGTGTTAGATGTTCACTGCGCATGTGCAAGGACTTTGGGGCAGCTGCAACTGATTAGAAGGTCAGCTACGAGCAGCTACTGTATTATCAATAAGGACAGTCTAGGACAGCAGTAATCGTACATCACTACACGGTCTGATGAGCATTAGCCTGTTACTTCAGCTCAGGCACTGTTGCCTACCGCGTTACCGCCTTTGATGCAATGGACAAACATAGAATAGTTTCAATTCCTCGCAGTATGACAGTAATTGGTGTAACTGCCCAGTAACTGGTGTAACTGTGCATGTGCAATAACGACTGAGCAGCTGCATGTTGATAGGCGCTCAGCTACAAACAGTTCAAGCGCAACATCGTAGCGTGAGCTGCACAGGTTGCCTAGAACAACAGAAACTGATCAACTTAGCCCTTGGCCTGTTATCCTTTTCTTAGGCAAGTTATGGTGTATTGTTCAGCTGTATTGTACAGCAATGACACGGGCTCTTGCAGCAAATCGTGGTCAGGCCAAACCACCGTCGCAACAATCCTTTCGCAGCCATCCAGTCCTAAGTATATCCCCTACGGTCCAACACATCAACTTCCAGGACTAGACCTATAGGCACTGGCGCTCTTACCACTTAACCGCCTGTCTATCGACCTGCCCGTCCACGCATATCCTACAATACCCCTTGCTAGTCCCTTACTCCAGCTCCAAGCTCCTATCATTCCCACGCCAGTACTGCGTCTCGTACAGTCTCCTCTTCAACCTCCCGCTCCTCGTCATGTGACCGTGTTACCGAGGCCAGTGCCGCATGGCAGCACATGCCGTTGGTCGAGAACAACGGGCAAGAGCAAGACACGCCATCCGCATCGTCAGCCATGATGACAGCCTTCTGCTGGCTACCACGCAACAGCAGTGTATGCCTTGCAGAGCCCATAGCAGATGCCGCTGCTTCGGCGACGCCGGTAGTACCCCCAAGGTGAGCAAGAGCATGTCTTGTGGACACAACCTAGATAGCTGGTGCCGACAGCTGGCTGGGAGCCAATTTGGGATGTTGTGCAATGATGATTACTAGGCTTGAGGTAGTCAGCGTATGGAATGTTGTTGGCTCGCCCCGATTAGGGGCGTAGTCTTAGCGATCACGAAAAATAGTCCGGACCGAGGCGTTTTGTCCTTTTTGTACCGTGTCGGTGTCCTATGTTGTATCCCTGTACATTTTACATGTACCTGCACCGAGGTCCCTAATTCGGTCGGACAAGGTGGCGTTGTATTCGTTGCTGTGTTTAGAGTATAACGGTATTTCGCAGAAGTGAGAGGCTTAGAGTTCTGAGGCCCACCAAAATCCGACCATCGAACTTCGTCACGCCCGTTTAACCCCACCTTCATGCTACCTAACAAGAACAGTTCCCAAAGTTTCAGTGCAATTGGCGATGGTCGGTTTCCCAGGTGGTGGCTTGGCGGGGGCTTCAGGGTAGGGGTGGAGGCCCTCCTAATGGCATAGGGCCAAAATCTGACCATCGAACTTAACCCCACCTTCATGCTACCTAACAAGAACAGTTCCCAAGGCCATCAACCTCCTACAATATACAAGCGCGTAGATGTAGTTAGCCAGGGTACCCGCTGAAGTAAACGCATGGAATAATGGGGTTTGGGGTTGGCATATACACAGCTTAAAGGAAGGGAAGTGCCATCCAGCATGAACCATTCTTTCAAGGAAAGAGGAGAGACTACCCAGGGGAAATGCAGTTAAACTTGCCGGCATCGGAAGTAAGGGAAGGGGCAAGCTGTATGGCAAAGCTGTACTCACAAATACGCCTATGTCAACGAAGGGGTATGCGTCCCCATCAGCAGCAGCCTGCCCCAACTCCACCATATCCCTCTCGCCGGCATCTTCGTAATATACTTCCTCGCTGAATACGAGGTCATCGTTGAACGCTTCAACGGCATCTTCAAACACTTCATCATCGTCATCGTTGTAGTCGGAATCGGGACATGATATCTCCATCTTCGCTCGCCATGGACTTATTGCGTTAAGTACTCTTTCCGGTATCTAGGTGACTATTCGTGAGCCTCTAATTGATATGACGACTCGGCTCAATATCAACATTCCTCTTTACTGCGAAGTAGTGGCCTCAAACGGCTGCACTGTTATTGATTTAGGATAAAAGCATAAGAATCTTACAAGCAATTGCTGGGAAAAGTACGTGGACAGACTTGGAAGCACACTTTGAAGGTGGGCAAGGTTGATTTGAGCGCCCATTCACCTGGCAAACAATAAGGATTAGTTCCATTATACTGAAATGCGGTGGAAAGGGTAAACGCAAGACGGCTGCCGTACGCCTAGGTCGCTTCGGACCTAGGATAGGACCAGCGGTGGTCATCCCGCTTCGGACCTAGGACCAGCGGTGGTCATCCGGCGCTGTACCTGATCCCGCTGTCATGAGGGGTTCTCTCAGCCGACTGCTCTTTGCATACGACTGAGGAATACCTGCAGCTTTCGCACCCTGACCTGAAATGGTCGACTCCGTAAGCTTGCTGTCGCTCCTGCTAAGCTGCGTATCCCTTGCTTGGAATGTCTACAACTGGTTGACTGAACGCAAGCAGCTCCAATCCAGCAATAAGGCAAGCGTGTATCGGGACTACGAGGAAGTGGTGATTCACACGAATTACCTGGCCATGTATCTGCAGCAGCTGCGGGCACGGTTTCGTCTCGATCCAGATTTGCCGGAAAGGTTTGGCCAAGGCGAGGAAGGCGTGCTAAACTACATTGCGAACCAGGAGATCCCTGAGACGATGGAAGAAGCAGGTAGGCAAAGCCACATTCCGGCCTCACGTCAGAATTAAGTGGCTGTCTTAACAAGTGAATCGAAACCCACAGGAGCGAACGAGGAAGCTTCGGCCATTATCCGAAACCGGTGGATGGAGGTCAAGGCCCACTTGATGAGGTCCGAACTCTTTTGGGATCGCATCATTAAAATGACAGACGAGGGCACGCTGCCGCGCGACATGTTGCGTGATGGTGGCTGGAGAGCCAGGGCGCTGAACTTCGCCAATTTGGCCGAGCCCTTTGCAACAGCCATTGGTCGGGCGGTATTTGGGGATAATTTTAAGAGAAAACGTATCTACAAGTGGGCTGAGAAGGAGAGGTAGAACTCAAATTGATCTGGATACTTTCACCATTGTTCGGGTGTTATGGGTAGAATACAGCTAGCAGTGAGGGTATCTAGCAGTGCAGTGTGGTTACACCCCATTGACATGTATGCCTTTGAAAGGATTGAAAGGATTCCAGATGGCGGCAAGCTGGTTAGTACCCCCAAGGTGAGCAAGAGCATGTCTTGTGGACACAACCTAGATAGCTGGTGCCGACAGCTGGCTGGGAGCCAATTTGGGATGTTGTGCAATGATGATTACTAGGCTTGAGGTAGTCATCGTATGGAATGTTGTTTGTCGTGTGACTGTTATCATGATGGCCAGAAGTGGTTTTGGCAACACCAAATTGATATCAAAGATCTGTAGGCCCGTGGCGGCCACCATTGACAGTTAGGATAGTTTGAATCCGGGTTGGCTGTGGATACAGCTGCATGAACGTTTGGGTGTAATCCCATTTGCTGGCGTTGGAATTCGACCCCCATACGGATACCATGGAACAAAATCCTGTTATACATGGAGGTTGGTTTCTGCTGTGCCACTTCCTGGCTACACAGCAAGGGGCATAGGCAGACCAACAAGGGGGTTCAGCTTCCTCAAAAGGGCGGAGCCCCTCCTCTTCAGTACAGGAACGTATTATTACCATTGGAATGACTGCGACTATTACAGGGGAGTCAGAACGACTTTAGGGCCTTTTAGACCTGGAATGGCACGGCATGGGCTCCTGTGGTGCCAGTTGACGGCACCAGTTGACTTAACTCACCTTGAGATACGGACGCTGAACCCCCTTGTTCACTGTAGTTGGAGTGTTCGTGTTTGTTGCATGGCTAGACAAGCTCAGAGTCCCTTGTCCAGCCGAGGCTGGCCGCCATGGCATACATAGTGCGTGTCCTCACTCATTCTTGTTAGGTTACGCCTGTTCAATCGAGTACTCAGAACGTCTTATCATGCTTGATACTTAGCCCTTGGCCCGTTTTGTTTCTTAGGCAACTTTAGGTGTATTGTGTAGCAAGTACAAAAACACGGGCACTTGCAGCAATCATGGTATGGTATGAAGCAAACTTAAGGGCGCATAGTACATGGCAGTTGATGGTGACGATAGATAGGAGAAAGAGGGGCGCTTGCGCATGCCTTGTCAGCTTTGCTAGCCCACGGCATGGGGGCCAAGTAAAGGCTAGCTGGGGGACTTGCACTCCTGGGAAGGGTACCGTTTCGGGGGCAAGGGGGGCCTCGTGGCTTGCACGGCCTCTCGAGCAACGCATTCGGAGACTCTATGGGGGGTGTAAAAAGAAAAACTCTCTAGGGCTGTATGATGTGGCTTCATAGGTTGGGGGAGGCGGAGGGGGGTGGGGGACACTGGACGGCTAACATGAACGCCAAGGAAGGGTACCTGGTTTTGGGGTACAGGGGTCCTCATCATGGCTGTGGCAGGGAAAGGGGCCTCACTTTCCTTTCACCCTCCTGTGCTTCTTGTATATCCTAAAACACGTCGTGTAATCGTGCTGCCACCTACGGTTAGGGGAGGGGCTGGCCTGCATGGCCTCTCACGCAAAGCGAGGATTGGGCGGGGGAGAGTAAAAATAAGGAATGTCTGCCCAGCCAAGCAGAAGGGGGCCGGGAAGTTAACCATGTGACACGGCTCCCCTATGTGCTGCATCTCTGGGGTGGGGTTGAGGGGAGTAGAACGGGGCAGGTCTCTCGGCAGCAGCAGCGTCACCTGTGCCAGCCGCTGCATGTCGTCTGAGCCCTGCTAATCCTTGCTGGTAATTGCTGGTCTTGACACAGTAGTGCGTGTGTATGAGGCTAGTGTACAACGGTGCACCAGTTGCTGTCTATAGGGTTGGATGGCGTGACCATGGCATGACTTAGTAGGTGCAAAAGCTCAACAAGTTGTATATACAGAAAGAGGACACTGAAAGGAATCCATTGGTCTTTTTTGCGACTTTTTTGGCGTACGGCTATATGAGAAAATAGCGTTCAAAGTTTTGTAGGGTGGGTGGGTGGGTCCGGGAGGGGTCGCCACCAAACATTCATCATGGGGTTTACCAAAAAAATGTACCCCCCCCCCCTGTGAAGGCCCAAATTCTCATCATATATATATATATTTTTTTACCCCCCCTGTGAAGGCCCAAATTCTATTGCTCACGGTGCGATGAAAAATAACCTCCCAAAATTGAAAAAAAAACACTGCTGCCGTGAAGTGCTGCTCAGCAAATCCGAAACATTGCGTCCGTCCGCAGAAAAACGATCCTCCTATTCCGCTTCCACCTCTTTTTGCGACTCATCTTACTGCCACAACGCGAACAAGAGACCTACCCTATTCCCAACCGAAGGACTGACCCGTGGGTCACAACCGCTTAGCTCCTACTACTAGCTAACAATAACCCCAACGGCGTGTCATGCTGAGACACGGCAAGGATGCCGGGCGCACAAACAGCCTGCGGGTGCACTTGCTCTCCTCCTTCTCCAAACCCTATCCTGCACGACTGCGAAAACTGCCTAAAACCTGCGTATTGCATCCTCCTCACCCTGCTAAACTGACCTTTCCTCCTGCTACTGCTCCTTCTGCTCAAAACTCCACATCTTTCTGCTCTCCTCCAAATAGCTAGGAAACGCATAACCTGCTGAAAGAAAACGTAAAACACCAACATGAACCCTAACCTTATCAACTACGTACAGGCTGCGACTTGCAACGCGGCTAACCCAAGCATCCTTAGCCCGAACATCCCCCTCCCCCCCCAGTTCCTTAGTCGACTGCTCAAGACTAGCGGGCACTTGTTGTACGGAAACGTGTTCCCCCCGGATCCCAGCGCTCTCGTGTAATCCTTACTAACCCTAACTAAACTCTACCCGGCTATGAGCCAGCAGGACGGTGACGTCTCGTCCTGGGAGGTGGTGGAGAAAGGCTACGGTATGTGGAGAAGGCCTGGAATGCGCGTAGAAGGGCGGCGCTAGCGTAGTAGTAGCGTTGGCCCGATGGTCGAGGTTGTAGACGCCGTGTAACAACCAATTGTGTCGACCAAATATGCCGATACCAGAAGGCGGATAGAGTAGCCAAGGGAGTAGATGGAGGTATGGGGCAAGCCGACGGCGACGGCGGTGTCGTATGACAGTCAACCTAAGATGCCCCAGCCAGTCCCTTGTCACTTTCACTGCGCCTGCCTCACTGGTGCCTGCCCCTCCCGCTATGATTTGTACTCGATATCCTTGTGGCTGATGCCTCCACGGCTGCCCGTGTGCAAAGTTATCCGAGTACTTGGCATGGGTGCCGCTGGTCCTAGGTCCGAAGCGACCTAGGCGTACGGCACCCGCCATAAGGATTCCCGCTTTCTGCAGCTTTCTGTGCTTTGGAAAGCTTTAATAACTGCCCAATAATTATTGGAAGTGATTGGTGTCCTTTCGGGACAAACCACTATTGTTGCGCGCTCGCGACCGCGTCGTCAGCCCTCCCATCCAGCGAAGCTCAATGGCTTCCCCATTGAATGTCCGAAAGGAGAATGTGTTATTAGTTTTGCGGACTGCCAGGACATGCATGCAGAACTTGTCCGTTTTGAAGGTGTGACAGCAGCAGGCCGTGTTAAAGATGAAAGCCGTTACTGAGCATGGGTTGCTGACGGTGCGACCATCTGACTGCTTTCTCCTGACCAAACGACGCACTGCCAACAAGACTCTTGCATATGTAACCCTCTCGGACTGGGAACCCTGAACGACGGCCACGCCTTCCCCATGACAACGTTACTTCATCACCACCAGCAGCGGTGGGACGTCCTGCCGCTGCCCCAGAAGGATAAGCGCCACCCGCACTGCCACCTGCAGCACCGGCACCCTGCAGCATGGGAGCCTGCACCCAGCAGCATGGGAGCCCATATCAATGAAATAAAGCTTTGGGGTAGGGGTGGAGGCCCTCCTAATGGCATAGGGCCAAAATCCGACCATCGAACTTCGTCACGCCCGTTTAACCCCACCTTCATGCTACCTAACAAGAACAGTTCCCAAAGTTTCAGTGCAATTGGCGATGGTCGGTTTCCCAGGTGGTGGCTTGGCGGGGGCTTCAGGGTAGGGGTGGAGGCCCTCCTAATGGCATAGGGCCAAAATCTGACCATCGAACTTAACCCCACCTTCATGCTACCTAACAAGAACAGTTCCCAAGGCCATCAACCTCCTACAATATACAAGCGCGTAGATGTAGTTAGCCAGGGTACCCGCTGAAGTAAACGCATGGAATAATGGGGTTTGGGGTTGGCATATACACAGCTTAAAGGAAGGGAAGTGCCATCCAGCATGAACCATTCTTTCAAGGAAAGAGGAGAGACTACCCAGGGGAAATGCAGTTAAACTTGCCGGCATCGGAAGTAAGGGAAGGGGCAAGCTGTATGGCAAAGCTGTACTCACAAATACGCCTATGTCAACGAAGGGGTATGCGTCCCCATCAGCAGCAGCCTGCCCCAACTCCACCATATCCCTCTCGCCGGCATCTTCGTAATATACTTCCTCGCTGAATACGAGGTCATCGTTGAACGCTTCAACGGCATCTTCAAACACTTCATCATCGTCATCGTTGTAGTCGGAATCGGGACATGATATCTCCATCTTCGCTCGCCATGGACTTATTGCGTTAAGTACTCTTTCCGGTATCTAGGTGACTATTCGTGAGCCTCTAATTGATATGACGACTCGGCTCAATATCAACATTCCTCTTTACTGCGAAGTAGTGGCCTCAAACGGCTGCACTGTTATTGATTTAGGATAAAAGCATAAGAATCTTACAAGCAATTGCTGGGAAAAGTACGTGGACAGACTTGGAAGCACACTTTGAAGGTGGGCAAGGTTGATTTGAGCGCCCATTCACCTGGCAAACAATAAGGATTAGTTCCATTATACTGAAATGCGGTGGAAAGGGTAAACGCAAGACGGCTGCCGTACGCCTAGGTCGCTTCGGACCTAGGATAGGACCAGCGGTGGTCATCCCGCTTCGGACCTAGGACCAGCGGTGGTCATCCGGCGCTGTACCTGATCCCGCTGTCATGAGGGGTTCTCTCAGCCGACTGCTCTTTGCATACGACTGAGGAATACCTGCAGCTTTCGCACCCTGACCTGAAATGGTCGACTCCGTAAGCTTGCTGTCGCTCCTGCTAAGCTGCGTATCCCTTGCTTGGAATGTCTACAACTGGTTGACTGAACGCAAGCAGCTCCAATCCATCAATAAGGCAAGCGTGTATCGGGACTACGAGGAAGTGGTGATTCACACGAATTACCTGGCCATGTATCTGCAGCAGCTGCGGGCACGGTTTCGTCTCGATCCAGATTTGCCGGAAAGGTTTGGCCAAGGCGAGGAAGGCGTGCTAAACTACATTGCGAACCAGGAGATCCCTGAGACGATGGAAGAAGCAGGTAGGCAAAGCCACATTCCGGCCTCACGTCAGAATTAAGTGGCTGTCTTAACAAGTGAATCGAAACCCACAGGAGCGAACGAGGAAGCTTCGGCCATTATCCGAAACCGGTGGATGGAGGTCAAGGCCCACTTGATGAGGTCCGAACTCTTTTGGGATCGCATCATTAAAATGACAGACGAGGGCACGCTGCCGCGCGACATGTTGCGTGATGGTGGCTGGAGAGCCAGGGCGCTGAACTTCGCCAATTTGGCCGAGCCCTTTGCAACAACCATTGGTCGGGCGGTATTGGGGGATAATTTTAAGAGAAAACGTATCTACAAGTGGGCTGAGAAGGAGAGGTAGAACTCAAATTGATCTGGATACTTTCACCATTGTTCGGGTGTTATGGGTAGAATACAGCTAGCAGTGAGGGTATCTAGCAGTGCAGTGTGGTTACACCCCATTGACATGTATGCCTTTGAAAGGATTGAAAGGATTCCAGATGGCGGCAAGCTGGTTAGTACCCCCAAGGTGAGCAAGAGCATGTCTTGTGGACACAACCTAGATAGCTGGTGCCGACAGCTGGCTGGGAGCCAATTTGGGATGTTGTGCAATGATGATTACTAGGCTTGAGGTAGTCATCGTATGGAATGTTGTTTGTCGTGTGACTGTTATCATGATGGCCAGAAGTGGTTTTGGCAACACCAAATTGATATCAAAGATCTGTAGGCCCGTGGCGGCCACCATTGACAGTTAGGATAGTTTGAATCCGGGTTGGCTGTGGATACAGCTGCATGAACGTTTGGGTGTAATCCCATTTGCTGGCGTTGGAATTCGACCCCCATACGGATACCATGGAACAAAATCCTGTTATACATGGAGGTTGGTTTCTGCTGTGCCACTTCCTGGCTACACAGCAAGGGGCATAGGCAGACCAACAAGGGGGTTCAGCTTCCTCAAAAGGGCGGAGCCCCTCCTCTTCAGTACAGGAACGTATTATTACCATTGGAATGACTGCGACTATTACAGGGGAGTCAGAACGACTTTAGGGCCTTTTAGACCTGGAATGGCACGGCATGGGCTCCTGTGGTGCCAGTTGACGGCACCAGTTGACTTAACTCACCTTGAGATACGGACGCTGAACCCCCTTGTTCACTGTAGTTGGAGTGTTCGTGTTTGTTGCATGGCTAGACAAGCTCAGAGTCCCTTGTCCAGCCGAGGCTGGCCGCCATGGCATACATAGTGCGTGTCCTCACTCATTCTTGTTAGGTTACGCCTGTTCAATCGAGTACTCAGAACGTCTTATCATGCTTGATACTTAGCCCTTGGCCCGTTTTGTTTCTTAGGCAACTTTAGGTGTATTGTGTAGCAAGTACAAAAACACGGGCACTTGCAGCAATCATGGTATGGTATGAAGCAAACTTAAGGGCGCATAGTACATGGCAGTTGATGGTGACGATAGATAGGAGAAAGAGGGGCGCTTGCGCATGCCTTGTCAGCTTTGCTAGCCCACGGCATGGGGGCCAAGTAAAGGCTAGCTGGGGGACTTGCACTCCTGGGAAGGGTACCGTTTCGGGGGCAAGGGGGGCCTCGTGGCTTGCACGGCCTCTCGAGCAACGCATTCGGAGACTCTATGGGGGGTGTAAAAAGAAAAACTCTCTAGGGCTGTATGATGTGGCTTCATAGGTTGGGGGAGGCGGAGGGGGGTGGGGGACACTGGACGGCTAACATGAACGCCAAGGAAGGGTACCTGGTTTTGGGGTACAGGGGTCCTCATCATGGCTGTGGCAGGGAAAGGGGCCTCACTTTCCTTTCACCCTCCTGTGCTTCTTGTATATCCTAAAACACGTCGTGTAATCGTGCTGCCACCTACGGTTAGGGGAGGGGCTGGCCTGCATGGCCTCTCACGCAAAGCGAGGATTGGGCGGGGGAGAGTAAAAATAAGGAATGTCTGCCCAGCCAAGCAGAAGGGGGCCGGGAAGTTAACCATGTGACACGGCTCCCCTATGTGCTGCATCTCTGGGGTGGGGTTGAGGGGAGTAGAACGGGGCAGGTCTCTCGGCAGCAGCAGCGTCACCTGTGCCAGCCGCTGCATGTCGTCTGAGCCCTGCTAATCCTTGCTGGTAATTGCTGGTCTTGACACAGTAGTGCGTGTGTATGAGGCTAGTGTACAACGGTGCACCAGTTGCTGTCTATAGGGTTGGATGGCGTTGTGGCACTTTCCCGGCGCCAGCGGCGCGGGCGGCACCACCCCGAAATGTTTCGCGACTGAGTGCGAGCCCACGCCAACTAGCTGATGCCCAGGAAAGCTTGACGGCGAAGGGGGGTGCTGTGCAGCACTCGTATGGGGACGAGCGTGCTGCACTCTTAACCGCGAATCCTGTTGCTGTACTGCTCAAAGGGATAGGTTAGGTTTGACTACTAATTATCGAGATTAACGCGCGGAAGCGTTGCTATATATGTGCGGAAGCGTTGCTATTATCTAGGAGAAAGGTTAGTTCTAGCGCTGACAGAACGGGACTGCTGTCGGCGTTAGGTTGCTGGCTGGCTGCAGCTGCGGAGTTGTAGCCGTTATGTAACCGTTACTTAAGCTGGTGAAGGTGAGGCTGCTGTTGGTCTTGTCCGTTGAGCTTGCTGAGCTGAATTAGGGCCCCGGGGAGCAGCCCTGATGTTGGCGGAGAGGGATCTTGTCCTGTCACGCTTAAACAGTTACACGCATACAGACAGTAGGGATTAACGGACCCTATAACCGGAGTCTTGTGCAACCACCAGACACGCACACACAACAGTGGACGATTGACACTGGCACTGGTCTCAAAGGCTGAACTAGACGTAGTTCCAGCCTGCACACGGACTTTTTAAAATAGCAAACAACGGGCTTATATAGTCTAAGCCTATAGAAGCTTCTGTACGACCACGGCGTTCTGCCGGCTACGGCATCTTCCGCCATGTCTCAACTGCACACGTCATCAGATGGCCTACAGCCTACCCAGCTACCCTGGGTGAAGCCCTGCCAGCACATATTGAAAGCCCTGTTCATCCCAAACGCCCAGATACAACCAGCACTCGAAAAGGGGCTGCATAGGAGACTCGACAAGCCCTGCAAAGCCCTCTCGTAATCAATTACGTAACCTTCTATACGCTTCCATCTATCGGCTAGACCGGTCGCCAATCGTTAGACCGTCAGCCGCACTATCTGTTTTGCGAACCGTAAAGTAATTAAGCATCTGCATTATTCCTTGAATCCCTTATTCTTCCTTCTATTGTTGCTGGCAAAACGCCGTCAAACGACTCATGACCCGACTCGCGACTCTCAACTCGCCCTTCCCTGCGCCGGTAAGTCTTCATCATAAAGAGCATTAGTATATTTGGATAAAAACCACGGCTGTGACCTGCCGCGGACCGACTTGATTCATGGTGTAACGTGCCTCGCAGCGGCAGGTTGCCACAGCTGTGGCACTTTCCCCCGCACATGCGGCACGCCCTCGGGCCGCCCGCTATGGGGGAGTAAACAGCGCATGCGCTCCCCTATAGCTAACAAACAAGGCGGAAACCTTGACTGTCTCCTTGTTACGTGCAAGTCCTCTTTTCCACAAACCCAGAGCGGCCAGACTTGGTGCCCTTGGTGGCTCGGAACCGCAACGACCGGCAAACACACCCTGTGGGGCATCACTTCCAGGTGATAACCCCAACCTCGTACATCAAATTATACTGGCTCATGGACTATTTTTTTTATTTCGCATGTTATTTATCATTTTTTTACTTTGGTATAGGTCCTTGTCCCGTGTACGGCAGACCGCCTCCCCTGTATGGGGCACCAACAGCTTTAAAACATGCATAACTCCCGCAGTCGGCTACCTTGTACTCGTAAAACCACGCTTGTAACTCTCCACCAGTCTGCCGCGATAGAACGGGTTGTTTAGTAGTGTTTTTTTTTACCAAACCGTCGTCGGTGTTTCATGCAACATGGCCGCCGTAAGGTAGACGGCATGCCCCAACCTCGAGTATCCGACCCCGGTAAACCAATCAAAGCAATCTTTCAATCTGGTTAACACTCTGCCCCTCCCCGACAAGTGGTAGGGCGCATTTCCCGACAACAACCCGCCTGACTTTTCAAACATAACCAACAGATGGCGACCCTGATTGGGACCCCGCCCTACCAGTCTGCCGCCCCTCATTTTCTTGACCCCTTAACTTCCCGCCGTCGACCGACCCTCTTAGCTCAAACCAACTACTCGCGCAACCAGCTTGAAACTTGCCGTCCCAGCCTCGCAGCCTACCTCCGACCCGGCTGTCTCAACGCGGCTGCTTCCTGGCCCAACTCCTGCTCTCAATTCCGCTGACGGTGCCGCGCCGCTTTCGGCCCTGGACTCCTGCTGCACCTCGCCTGCCATCGCGGCTCGTTGGTCGTGCCTCTTACTCCAGGCGGCAATGCCTGTCCAGCACGATCTGCGTGGCCCAGTCGAGCGCGGGACCGAGCATAGGTGCGAAGGGGCTCCCCGTCAGGGCCAGGCCCAGGATCTCATCCATGAGCCACATGGCCTCGTCCTGGCTGTCGGCGTATAGGTTGTAGCCCATGCGGCCGCCTAGTCCCAGCAGTTCCATCCGCGTTCCCCGCGGCCATGGCTCCCATCCGTACACCCGCTGCGCTAGGCCCTCCGCCAGCGGACGGTGAAGGATGGATGCGAAGACGGCTGCGACCAGCCTCCGCGGGCTACGCCGACTGCTGGGTTGTTCCTCCATGCACCACCTAGGTCGCAGCATGAGCACGGGCGGTACGGAGGTCCTCTTGGCGGGTGTCACCCGAATGCCACGACGCCGGTGATGGCCCCTTCCGCCACCGCCGCCACGCCTCCCCCGGCCGCCTCGGCTGCCGCCGCCGGGATTCCTGCCGCTGCCGCTGGTGCTCATAGCGTCTCCTCCTCTGTCGCCGTGGCCGGCGCCGCCTCCGCCGCTGCCCGCCTGGATTGCCTGCCTATCTCCGGGTGCTGCAGTCCTGGCGATGCCGCCGATGACGTCGTTGATGCTGCCCCCCTCGGCAACACGGCCAGTGACCGCTGCTGTCGCCGCCGCTGTAACTGATCCTACCTCCGGCGGCGCTTCCGCCGCCGACGCCTGCGGCTCCATATCTGCGTCGCCGCCAGCGGTACCGGATACCACCGCGCCGGCCGTGGCCTGGATGAGATTCTGCGTGCCCGCATGCTGTCCAACCTCGCCTTCCTCGCGCGGTTCTGCTGCTCCTTCCGCCGGCTGGCCTCCCGCTGCTAGCGCCCGCATTGAATCTTGTACATCTGAGTCTGGTAGCACTTCTGGGTCCGGTGGTGCAGACGCCGGTACTGAGCCTGCCAGTACTTCAGCCCTTGCTGTGGTTTCCTCTGTTGGTTTCACTCCTCGGGGATTCTCCAGTTTGGCCCACGGAAACGCCTGCTTGCTGAGCTGCTGGAAGGGTGACTCCGGGGGTCCGTGATTGTTGGCGCCGCTCTTTGCCCCGCGGGTTGTAGCTCCGCCAGACGCAGGGCTGATCACCGATGTGTGAGCGCCTCTCGCGCCAGGTCCCCCGTCGCCAGGGAAACCCGGCGCTCCGATCGGGCCGCGCCTCCGTGATAGCGGAGCCCTCAGCTCCGTAGTGTAGCCTGGCGTGGTGGCCGTCGTCGTTGTCAGCGCTGCCGGCGCCGCAGCCGCCGTCGCTGCCGCCGCTGTCGGCATCGCCGCCGCCGCCGTTGCCACTGCTGGCGCTGTCGCCGTAGCTGCGGCAGCCGTCGGCGTCTCCGCCGTCGCCGTTGCCGCCGGCGGTGCTGCCGCCGTCGGCACCGTTGCTGAAGTGACGGTCGCCGTCGTCGTCACCGCCGTCGCCGTCGCCGCCGTCGGCGCTGCCGCCGTCGCCGCCGGCACCGTCGCTGAAGTGACGGCGGCCGACGTCGTCACCGCCGTCGCTGCCGCCGTCGCTGCCGTCGGCGCTGCCGCCATCGCCGGCGCTGTAGGCTCCCTGCCGCCGTGGCTGTGGTCTTGTTGGCGGAAAAGCAGGAGCGGTGACAGCAGGTGATCGCGGGAGGCATTCTTCACCGTGTCGAACTTGGTGCCGGCAGTCACTGTTGTCGTTCCTGGGCTGAGGCTGTCCCCCAGCACCAGGCCAGGAGGTGCCGTACCGCCTGCGAAGCCCAGAAAAGCCCCCGCAACCCCGCTGGCCGGAGGGCCGCCCGCCTTGGTGCCCACTCTTGAGATCTCGACTCCAGCTGATGCGCTAGCGCCGCTGCGGATGCCGGTCAGCCGTACTGGGCTCCCGACTAGCGGCGGCGCCGTCTGATTTGCAGGGGCGCTGCCCGCCGCTCCCGCATTGGCGGGGGCTACCGCCGCCGCCGTCGGCGACGGGCTGTCGTAGCCAGGACCACGTTGGCGAAGGGGTAGGAAAGGCGGCCGCAGGGGGCTGTGGAAATTCCCTCCCGCCGCCGCGACGAGGCCGGTGATGGTAGCTTCTCCTATGCTCTAATGAGGTAACCTTACTTTCTGTATTATTGCCTATAGCATAGTCTCGCTATGCGTTCCTGCTTTGTGGGCTGTTGAAAATCCGATTCTTGTCTGACTGGACGCCTGCGGGCGCACCGAGATAGCGTAAGGCACGACCATATCGGTATGTTGGGCGGCGCTTCAAGCTTGCTAGTAAAGTTTTCACGTGGAATGTTGGGCTTGGGAGGCGAATCTTCTTCCTGCCGCTGGCGGCCCAACGCAGCCGGCCTGACATCTCAGCAGTCAGCTAGTTCTTCGTCCTCCTCTTCACCATATAATATTACACTTCCGGCTACGAGAACTCCTTCCAAGCTTGCGAAATATGAGGAGCTGCAGCCACCTGAGGCACCGCGCAGGCTTCAACGCGCCCTAAACATTAGGACTCGCACATCTGCGTCGACTGACATTATTATACTCTTAATCGAGGTGTTGTTGGTGCCTGCTGCAAACGTAAGCCGCGCGCTCTGGCTGCGGTCGGGCTGCCCGGTTGATTCGACAATTTCCTCCGCCGCCGGTGCTGCTGCTGAAAGTGAGGCTCCGGGATTGCATGCAGCAGCAGATTCCTCCTTGGGCGAGGGCAGCTGCCAAGCGCGCTCCCGGCCTGCGCTGTTCATTAATGATTACGACCAAGGGGTGCTACAAAGTTTTCCGTGCGGGTATGCAGGGAAACCGGGTGGTCTCGTGCTCACGATGAGCAGCGTCGAAATGTTACCAAAGGGTTAGGAACGCATTTGCTCAGCCGTCAGCTAGGATAGAAGCACGCTTTCCCCTCCTTCTCCTTCTCCTTCTCCTTCTCCCCTTCAACAACTAACTCCCTGCTCCGCTTCCCGTCCACAGCGCCAGCGCGCTAGGCCGAGCCGCCTACACCCTCCGGCACCTCTACCCCCTCCACTTCCTAACCGGCCTGCACCTGGACATCTCCAACGTCCTCTACACGGCCGCGCTGCTGGCGGCGGTGCTGCTGCTCTCAGCACACCACCTGCTGCTGAGGAGGAGGGACAGGGCCGCTGCCCGCCGTCGAAGCCGTGGCGCTGGCAGCAGTGCTGCAGGCGCCAGCAGCAGCAGCAGCAGCAGCGGAAGCGGAGGAGGGGTGAGCGGCGGTGACATCGCCGCTGACGAGAGCAGCAGCGCCCTTAAGCGTTGGGAGCAGGGTCGTACGGCATTACGACACGGCCTTGTGACGGCCGTGCGGTTGTGCATGCAGCTGGTGGGTTGCTGTTATGGGTCGTTGCGCGGGCGCCCTTCACCTTCCCAAACCTCAGATCGCTGTAGTTCGGAAGAGCTAGGGCAGCAAGGGCTGGGAAGAGCTCAGGTTGCCGATCTGGTTCCCATGTGGTGGGAACTTTAGACTTTGATCTACGACAGCGGAGCGTGTCATTGGCGCCCGGGGCTGATTTAGCCCACATGAAGAGGCCGGGGTTCGAACACACATTGTTGCTTATGGCCTTTACCCACCGCTGAATTCCCATCGTGTGCAACGCGACGCAGGGCAACGTGCTCGCGCCCATCGCCTTCGCTAGGCGGTACGGCAAACGTACGGCAGCAATGCTTCTTCTGCTAACGCCTTCCAAGTACTACGCACCCGGCGCGCGCCATCAGGGCTGCCTCTTCGTCGCCCTGGCGGCTATGGTCACGGATAAGGTACGGTACCGTTATGTTTTGCAGGCAACGGTGCATGCACTCGTTCATCTTCATGTATAGGGTGGTTTGGTCATCATGGTCCACCTGGTTGCTCAACAAGTAAGAAGGCAAAGTAAAAAAGGGAGGTTACGCCCAGGTGCGCCAGTGGATCTTATGGAGTTTCCGCATACCAACACTCGGCCACCTCCTTGCACCTCGAGTATGAGTTTGCGACCCGACTCGCCTCGCGTATGCCGCACAAATCCTCCTGCAAACACTGGGCACAGTTGCCATTCATTGTGATACCGCGCCGCTCATAACCTAGCTGACAAGGAGAATTAACTTTGCGTTTCGTCAATTGAGGCTGAGCGTGTTTTTGGCCTTATAAGAGGCTAGGAATTCGCTGGCAATGTGTCCATTGGGGGCATTGAAAGCCGGGACTGCCAGGATCCTCACCACGCCATGCCCAAACGGCTGCTCTGGGGGAGTTCTGCTCATGTCAATAGGGGCTTGAAATTCGTCGACCGGAAGTCGTTGGGGTAAATGTAATTCCTTCTTGTCAAATGGGGCGAAAATTGGCATCAATGCGCATGTACATTATTACGAAGCCGTACGGCAGTATTTACCGGAGTGTTGGTGCCTCGCAGGTACCCCTCAAGTGGCAGTTGCCCGTCAGCGTGCTGGAGTGGGCGCTCATCATGACCCACATGACGCTGTCGGACGTCCTGACCCATGGGTCGCTCCAGCGGCCAGTGCACACCGCACTCATCGTCGCGGCATGCGTGGTGGCACTTCCTGCAGTCGTCATGTACGGACCGGAACGCTCGACTCGGCAGCTGCGCCGCCGCGCCTCTGCAGCGGCCGCCGCCGCCGCTGCAACGGCTGCTTCCTCAACTTGTGCCGTCCTTTCGCCGCCGCTGCTGCCCACTAAGTGGGCGTTACGCAAGCAAGCGTGGTCTGGGTTGGGATGCCCTTCTAGCCCCTTCACCGCTGCATCATCTAGCGACCAAGCGGCAAGCCCTAGCCCAAGCAGCAGCCTACTCCCTACGAGCCCCGATGTGCTGCCCGACGCTGCACCGGTAAGCCCCAGACCGGAACCACATGCCTCGGCCCAGCAGCAAGGCGAGTCACTACACACAGCAGCGCTGCCCCAGCATCCACAGCAGCAGGAGCAATCTCTACGTCTCTCCGACCGCGCACTGCAGCAGCCGCAGGAGCATCTCCTGCAGAAGCAGCAGGCTCCCGGACGTACCGGTAGCAATCAACCACACAGCCGGGATGACGGAGCCGCCGGCAACAGCCTGGTAACCGGCGGAAGCGCCGCCAACGTCGGCTATGGTGGCATCCATAGCGGCAACAGTGGCCTTGGCGGCGTCGGCGCCCTAAGTCAGCTGCACGACACAGCCAGCAGCCGTTGCGTGGAGTTAGATAGACCATAACAGCGATGAGCGAGACCCTGCGCTTTCTCTCATTGGCCGACGCTGCAGCACCAACAGCAGCGGTCTCCTCAGCTGTAGCGGCGGCAGCTGTGGCTGCTGCGCCGGCAGCTCTGACGCCGACAGTGAGGGAGAGGACGACTGCGCCATGCCGCGGCGGCGGCCACTGCCGTTGCCGGTAGCACCAGCTGCCGCACACGTTGCGGCGGTGTCCCCAGACGGTTCACAGGACAGCACCAACGTCATCGCCTCTGCCGTACTGCCGCGGCGGGCCGAAACCCCGCCCCCCACAACACAGCAGCAGGCCCCGACGGTGCCTCAAGCTCCGGCGATGCCTCGGGCCCCGATGGTGCAGGCGCCCGGTCGCCCCACATTGGACATGGGCCTGCTGAAGCCCTCGGCCCTCAGGACTGGCACCGGCTCTTCAGGCCGTGCCGCGCCGCTGTACACCTCCCGCCTGTCCACCAGCTTGATCAGCCTCAAGGTGCACCAACACTCGGCCCTGGGTGAGGACTTCCCCTCGGCCGCCTCTGCGCTGGCAGGGGCAGCGTGTCGGGTCCTCAGTGCGCAGAACAGGGCGGCGATGGCGGCCGCTGTGGCGGCGGCGGCCTCCTCGACGTCGAGGACAGCTGTTGGAAGTGGAGGCGGCGGGGGCGGGGGCGGGGGCGGCGGGGGCGGGGGCGGCGGGGGGGATGGAGGAGGAGGCGGCGGCAGCAACGGCGGCGTGCTGCGGCGTCCCGGCTTGCTGAGTGCGTTGAGCGGTGGCGTGGTGGTTCGCGGCTGCGTGCACCTCATCCAAGTTGTTCGAGTGGCCAGGTGGGGGTGGGGGGCTGGTGGTCGGGAGCGTGGCGGTTCCAGATTGCCAAGTTTTGGGGGGAGGAACGGTTGTTGGTTGGGACAACCCGTAGAGTAAGATGAAGCTGGTAACATCCCAAGAGGCGGTTGGTAATATGCTCGAGGGACTGAGCTGCCCGTGCTGACGCGTGACCGCGCACTTACGTACGCCCTCCTCTGCAGGCCCGCCAATCAGCAACAGTGGTCCGTCCAACCCTCGCTACAGCGTCCTGTTGTTGGGGTGGGTGACGGCTGCGAGTCAACGACGCCAGGCGGCAGGGGCGGTGTACGGTTGGTGCACCGGGAGCTTCGGTCGCTTGACTCCCCGTTTTCCCGAGTGGCGTGGGACCGAAGCCCTGGCGGCGGCGGTGACGGCGGCAGCAGGACGTGCCTGACAGGCCCCGCAAGCGCTGCACCCGAGGAGCCGCGGCAGCCCGCATGGGCGCTGGCTCGCAGCGCCATTAGCGGCGATGGCACCGCCGGTGGCGGCGGCGGTGGCGACATCAACATGAGGCTGCAATCCGCTCTGCATGAGATGTACGAGGTAGTTTCCTCCGCCGCCGCCACCACCGCCGCCGCCACTGCCACCGCTATCGCCACCACAGGGGCAGCGGCGGCGCCGGAACAAGAGGTGTCTTCTCCAACGTGCAGTGTAGGACGTCATGGAATCCCAGATCTTGCATTACCTCCGTCCGGCCCATCTGCCGCCTCTGAAACAATGGAGGGTGCAACCAGGATGGCAAGTTGGCTTGCAGAGCGTGCGCAGGGCGCCACTGCCGCTACAGCGGATGACGCTCACGCCGGCGTCGCGCTGAATCCCCAGCTGCTGGTGCCTTGCTACTTGGACGCCGTCGCCGTGAACGCATGTACGGCCGAGCACGGCACCGACCGTACGGTGCATGTCGTATTGGCGCCCGAGGCGGTGGGCGCCATTGCCAACCTTCAGCCGCCCCCAACCGACGCGGGTGGCACCAACGGCGCACAATTGGCGCCGGCGGCGGCGGTTGTGCCGCCGCTGCTGGTGCGAGTGGTGGTTGCGGCAATGGACCCGGTCACCGGCGACGGCAGATCGTTGGATCCTGTCGTAGACACGGCGGTTGAATTGCAGCTGTTGGATTCACCGTCGGAATTGATGGGTGTACGGCAGGAGGCTACCGCCAGGCAACAGCGACGGCAGCCGCTTGGGTGGCCGACGGGGTCAGCCGGCGGAGAGATGGACCGTGGCCGTGGAGGACTGACCCACGGGTCGCTGCTGCCAAGTGGCCGGCGGCGCGGGTGCCAGTGGAGCTCAAGGTAACAGCGAGCCACTCCCCATGGTTGCTGCAAACAGTGTGTAGCACTGCATTGCAGCCCCTCCTGGCGGCTTAGATCGGGTGGCTCCCTTTATCCCGTCCCAGGTTTTGGTCATGCCGTTACTTCAGTGTTCCGGCGTGAACCACGCTCGGTGTACCTGTTCTAGGTTTGTCGCGGTGTGGTAGCTGACACTCACTCCTCCCTTACCCTGCCGCTTCCTATCCATTGTTTTGCCCCCAGGTGTGGTTTCTTATGGTTCGGTATGGTCTTTGACCTCCCTCACTATACCGTAATGCCTCGCCGCCAACCTGTTCCGACTCCCGACCTTTCACCTTGTGCCCGATTCCCGTATGCGCAGCTCGGTTCGCTGCTGGCAGCATCGCCGGCAGCGGCAGCCTTGTACATTTACCTCTTGCCGCCTTACACCGGCGGAGGCGGGGACCCCGACGACGGCGGCGCTGCCATTAGCGGTCACGCTGCCGCCACCTCTGCCGTTGACGCTGCGTTGTCTGGCGGCCGCTTCCAAGTGCTTGCCGCGCTGCCGCTGCTGGTGCTAACCGACGAGGCTGCGGTGGCGGAGCTGCATGAAGTGTACGACCAACACGCGGCCATGTACGACAATGGTGTTCATGCTTACCATGACATTGATGTCGGGGAGAGCAGCGAGTCGCCAGGACACGTTTCCCGCAGCCGTGTCCACCGCCAGGAGGAATCGGCAGGCCTAGATGAACCACACTGTATGTCGTACAACGGAGGCCGCATGCATGCTTTCCGCGACCACCTGTCGGAGCTCGCGGCGGACATAGCAGGGCTGCTGTCGGCCGCCGCCGGCGTTGGCGGCGCGGTTTGCAACGACGGAGAGGTTTCGGCCTCAGCAACGGCCGAAGCAGTTGCAGCAGCGGCTGAGGAGGCGGCTGTGAACGGCGAGCATTTGTTGTCGTACATCCATAAGCGCGGTATGCCGGCCTGCGCGCGTTTCGTCGCAGCTGTGCTGCGAGAGGGCTGGGGTGTCGAGGTGGCCAATTGGGAGGAGGCCCCGCCTGAAGCTGTAGGTTCCCCCGAAGTGTCGGCGGCGGCGGCGACACCTATGCATAGTGCGGCGGAAGCGGCGGAGGCGGCGGCGTTGTCAGCTGCGCCGGCAGTAACAGCAACGGATAAGCAGTCGACGGCCGTTGGAGATGTTGACCAGCTGATTGACCCGCAGCAGTTGCTGCATCGGGAGCCGCAAGGGGAGCTGCAACAGCCGCGGCCGCAACGAGATTCGGAGCAGCAGCGAGGTCTACAGCAGCAGGAGCAGGCGCCTCAGCAGCGCCCCTGGTTCTGCCGTCTGGCCGGCGACGCCCTGGTCTGGGTCGTCATGCTCCTGAAGCACGTCTTGGTGGGTGTTGGCGGTTGCAGCGTGCATTCAGCCCTTAGCCGCATTAATGCGTTCTGCGTGCTATTGCCGTGGGGCGGCTACAGTATCGCTTCATCGTGGCTTCTGGAAGTCCCTGACTGCGGATATGAAGCCTGCGGATAAACGCCTTACCTCACTCGCTGGCTTTTCTGGCGTAGAAGCTCCTGCTGACGCCTTAGCCATACCGGATCGCCTCCTGGCTACACGGTGTTGTAAAGGGCCGTGACTTGCCAAGCACAGGCCCCACGCCCGCGGGATCGGGTGACTTTTGCGGAAAAGTCAGCCGTAAAAGTCATCTACAAACGCGGTGACTTTTACCCTTAGTAGCTTAACAGTAGATTGCTAGATATAGGCTAATAGTTGACTTCTAGGCTGCTTACTTCGCAGCTCCTGAGCTAACACGTTACTTTTTTTTATGCATGCGAAGCCACCCACCACCACAGCAACCTGCAAACATCCAGCCTTACTCACCTTTAAGCTTTTACACGCTCATCGACCACTACATATGGCAGGTGTCGATAGGAAAGCGCAGGCTAGCCCCGGGGTCCTTCAGCGACTAAATGCCCACGTCCAAAGGATAGGTCATGTAACCTAACAACTGTGAATCATACCGCGGGGCCATGGATGTTGGGGAGGCGGGAACGGGTGCTACTCTTATCTGTCCCCGTGCAACGCCTGCCTTCCCCTCGTGCAGCCCCTGCCTCCCTTGCCGCTTCCCCGCCAGTTCTGTGCCTACCACCGTCATGCCTTCTATGCGCGGCGTTTGCCTTCCCATGCGCTTCGCGGCCCCTGGTTGGGTTCCCAACTCCCTATGCCCTTCCCCGTACCGTGCCTGCCTCTCCATGACGTTGCCAGCCCGAGGCCTGCCTCCCGACGCCCGTTTATGTGCAGCACCTGCCCCTCCCTGCCCTTCCCTGTGCGGCGCTTGCGTCCTTAGACCCGTCTCTGCACGGCCCCAGCCTACCTGTGTGCCTGCCCCTGCGCAATACCGCTTGTTCTCCCGTGGGATTCCCATGCCCTTCCCCGTGGGCCCCGTCGGCGCCAGTGTCAATGCCCTCCTCCGTATGGTGCCGCTGCGGCCCTCTGAGGGACTTCTATGCCCTTCCCCGTGTGGCGCCTGCCTCCCCGCGCCCTTCCCGATGCTTCACCTGCTCGACCTGCCCTGTGCTTTACCCCTCATTTCTTCTCTGCCACACCAGAGGTAGGGGCGCTTTTGTCATACTGCCTCCACATGTGTACCCGTGCCTTTTCAGCACCGGAAGAGCTGACGCGCTGTATGGGAGGGTAAAGACCCTTCTTTGTAAAGTTGAAACCCCTTTGTTGGATGGCAAAATGGAAGCACACACGCACAAAAACGAAGTATCCATCCACCACCCATCACCATGCGCGGCACAGCGCTTACATGTATGTGCAAAAACCCAAAGCGCGGCCGGCTACATATAGCCAAAGGGAACCGTTGATAGCTAGCTAAACACTTGGCCGCTGCTGCAACGCGTGCTGTCTGGGACGTCCAGGCTTATAACCCTTATAACGTCAGAGGGCCCAAAGACCCACATGTCGACCACAATGCACCCTGCTGCATGCTGCTGACTAACTGACACCATGTACGCTGATGACCGCCTTACGCCCAACGTCTGTGGCCAAACATGCGGTAAAAGGACCGCACATCCCCCGTGCCTCTCGATCACGCAGTAGGTATGCACATGCACCATGGTTTGGCGGGGTGAGGAGTTTGGCGAGCCCATGCGAGAGAAATTCCCGTACATGGTCAGGACTAAAACCTTGGCCGTACGACGAAGGAAACAGTATATAATACCTTTACTATCTCTTAATTGCATTGTCTCCATCACAACAGAATTTATGTACAAGTAGATACCTTGAGCTGTTGTTCTGAATCGACACTATGCCGGGCAAGCAGAACGCCTGGAGTACAGAGCTGTTCGATTGCTGTGCTGAGCCTGGAGGATGCAAAATATGTTGTAAGCCAGACTGCGGTATGGTTTGACGGGGCCTGCGCATTTCTAAAGCCTTGCCATTATTACGCTGCAGGTCTCGGATGTGTCAATCCTTGTGCCCTCTATGGCAAGAACGTGAACAAGATGCCAAAGGCAAGTAGATCGCTTGCAATTATAGCCCTCGTGCCATTTTGGTGTTTTCAATTTGCTGGACGGACATTTGCAACACCAGGTCAACTGGTCTTCTAGGCCTCTTTCCACAATGCTTACTGAGCTGTTGTGTGTGTGCAGGAGGTCTGCTGCGGAGGCAGCAAGGGCAGCGCCAAAAACGGCTACTGCTTGTTGTCATGTGTGGGTCTCGGCTGCGTCCTGCACATGGGCGCCCGTCGATGGATTCGGAAGAAGTATGATATTCCGGGCAGTTGCTGCGACGGTAAGCCGTGTACTTGCTATCAAGCCACGCGAATATGTGGGTGTTCGCGTGAAGTACTCTTCTTTCCTTACTGGACTTACATTTGGGATTCTTCTTGAATGCAGACTTCATGGCGACATGCTGTTGTCCGTGCTGTGCTATGATCCAAGAATACAACGAGCTCAAGATTCGCAAGGGCAAGTCAGGGGTTGGGGACTCATGGTGTATGACCCCTGTGCATGTTTATGCGATGTATCGCGAAGCTTGGGCAACTCTCGTTTGCGTGTCACATAGAACTCGGCGTCGCCGACGAGCAAGGACCTGTTCACCCCTGTACACTCCGGTGACACCTGATGCAATTGCAACCAAGGCGAGGCCATCTTTAACATACCCAACCATTTCCTGGCGAAAATCTGTTGGATTTGCAGACAGCAAGGAGTCACGGCACCCAAGGCACGTAGTGGAGGTTACGGCATCAACGGCACCCCCGCCTGAGCAACCACGCCTTGCTCCGCCGCCAGTCGTCGCACAGCCTGTTCCTGCGCCGCCGCCACCGCCGCTCAGGCCCGCGCAACCTGCACCGCCGCCGCAGCCCACGCCCGCCCACAAGAAGCAGCATAAGAAGCACACCAAGGGGGACCACAGCAGCAGTAGCAGCAGTAGCAGTGACAGTGACAGCGACAGCAGCGGGCACCGCGCCCGGCGGGCCGTCGCACAGCCTGCCCCTGCGCCACCACCGCCGCAGCCCAAGCCCGCGCAACCTGCACCACCACCGCCGCCCAAGCCCGCGCAACCTGCACCACCACCGCCGCCCAAGCCCGCGCAACCAACACCACCGCCGCCGCCCAAGCCCGCGCAACCTGCACCGCCGCCGCCCAAGCCCGCACAACCTGCACCGCCGCCGCAGCCCACGCCCGCCCACAAGAAGCAGCATAAGAAGCACACCAAGGGGGACCACAGCAGCAGTAGCAGCAGTAGCAGTGACAGTGACAGCGACAGCAGCGGGCACCGCGCCCGGCGGGCCGTCGCACAGCCTGCCCCTGCGCCACCACCGCCGCCGCCCAAGCCCGCGCAACCTGCACCACCGCCGCCGCCCAAGCCTGCGCAACCTGCACCGCCGCCGCCCAAGCCCGCACAACCTGCACCATCGGCGCCCAAGCCCGCGCAACCTGCACCACCACCGCCGCCCAAGCCCGTGCAACCAACACCACCGCCGCCGCCCAAGCCCGCGCAACCTGCACCACCACCGCCGCCCAAGCCCGCGCAACCAACACCACCGCCGCCGCAGCCTGTACCGGTCCACAAAAAGCAGCACAAGAAGCAGCACAAGAAGCACAACAAGGGGGGCCACAGCAGCAGCAGCAGTAGCAGCAGCAGTAGCAGTGACAGCGACTGAGCAGTACCATTGGCACTCTGCAAATGAGAAACCGAGGAGAGGGGCCCTTGTGTCTGGTCCCGATTCTGAGATAAGCCAAAAAAATGTAGTTATGATCGAGCAAATGTATATCTAAAAGGTTTCTTAGTAGTACTATGCAGTTATGGGGTTAAATATGTGTCAAATTCATTTGCATGCCGTGCTGGATGGGGTTGTTAGCCCCCTTCCAGTCCTTATGCTTACTTGGCAGGGGCCATGTCCAGGAGACCCATCAAACTACGCGTGTTATACTCGGCATGCTTTATACCGTGGCAGCAACTGCATCACTGCAAGTTATGGACGCTTTCCACTCTGCAGGAATAGGACAGGAGTGTACGGTAATCGTAGATGGGCATAACCGGTATAATCGTGCTGGCCTTTTGGCTTTGCTTTGATTGTTAGTGTGCTCAGGTGTTATGTACTCGCATCTTTAAAGTTATGGTCTACAACGCCATCTGGACTTCTTAGGCACGGTGTGGGCCTGCACCGGTTTACTCCGAGGTAGCTGACGTTTATATCCGTTATTCGTATAGTAACGATTCATTATTCATGTTTTTATCTAATGTGATTATTGCAGCATATTACGCCGCGTGGTGAAGTGTGGTGATGGGGTGTCCTATGTGTGTATGGGCTGCCTTTGTATGATGAAGCAGCTGTTTCAGGGAAAAACGAGGGTGTCTTTTAGTCATGTTAGGAGAGTTGCCGTCACCAAAGCTGATTTTAAGCTTTTGTGATCCTGCGGATGCGGCAACGAGTTAGTAGTCAACATGCCTGCGTTAACAAATATGTGTGCCAGCCTTGGCCTAGGCCATGTAATCTCCTCGAGCTTCATTCGTCTTTCGCCCCCCGGATAGTTATTACAAAACCTTGCCACCAGGGTTCGTTACCAATCTTTCGCGAACGAGTCGCAAAACTTACACGAACGCTAAGCTCATAACCCCGTGACAACACGAGCACTCGCAAGCATCCATTACTGCCAACTCAGCATAAGCCCCGCAACCATATCCTTGGAATCTGATTATCCTCCACACCCGTCCCCTTCATCAGTCCACGATGCGCACCAGCATCTTGTTCTTCTTACCGGCCGCCAGCAGAAGCAGCCGCCCCTCAATCAGGTCCGTCGGCTGAACCACGTACAGCTCCTCACCCACTTTGGCGTTGTTCAGGTACACGCCGCCGCCCTTAATAAGCCTGCGTGGCGGGGGGCCGCATTAGGGTCGTCCGCCGGCATGGCCTTACAATACTACAACCGTCATGTGCATAGGCCATAACGGCAAGCAACGGTCGCGCCTGACGCCACGTGGAGAGTAGTCAAGTTTATGCCCTCTATTCCTTCACAGTACCACCCTTTGCCAAGCTTACTTGCGCGCCGCGCTCTTGCTGGGCTGCAGTTTGGTGGCCACTAGGACGTCTGCCAGGGTGGCGCCCTCGACCAGCCCGCGGGTCAGCGTAGCGCTAGGGGCGTCACCCGCCACCGTTTCTAGGGTGGCCGCGTCGAGCTGAGTGGCGGCGCCGGGCTTCAGAGCCTGTGGTCCAGAGAAACATAATCCGATTAGACAAACACCTGCGTCTCCAATTCCCATGCGACCCACCTCATCAGGAAACACCACTCCCGGCCCAGCAGCACCCCCAAGCTCCCCTCCCTCCCCGCTCCTCACCTCCGTGGCCTTGATAGCCTGCGCCAGCCCCTCCTCCCCATGCACGAAGCGCGTCACCTCCTCCGCCAGCCGCCGCTGCGCCGTGTTGGGCAGGTAGCCGGGCTGCCGCATGGCGGCCTCAATCGCCTCCACCTCCCCCAGCGGCAGGAAGGTCAGCATCTTGAGCAGCTTCACCACGTCGGCGTCGGAGACCTGATGAGAGGGCGGGCAGGAGGGGGAGCTGCTGCAACTGAGCCGTGACGAAGTAAAAGGAATATACTTTGTGATATTGTATATATCGAATATGCATGGGTAAACTAATGGGTGGAGTCCAGCAACCCGAAGGTCGAGAGGAGGGGGCAGGGAGCGGTAAGGGTGGGGTCGCGACTGTGCGGTAGGTTGCGACGGCAACGCCGCTGCCTCCAGTACCGGTAGCTGTGAAGCGGTGCTACGCTAGCAAGGAGATCCCCACCGACCCAACAGGCGGAGGGCAGCGGCCAAAACGGGGCGGACGGGCGGATTGAAAACTACCGGTACGGTGGACGAGGTGTGTGGGCGTAGCGTGACGGATGCCTTTAGCCCGTACTCAATACGGCTCGGCGACATCTTGAGCCTCTGTCAACCCCACCCCCAACTCCACCCCCACGCCGCACCTGGAAGAGGTACTGGTAGAACTTGTAGGGCGAGAGCTTCTCCGCGGACAGCCAGATGGCGCCACCCACGGACTTGCCGAATTTGCGACCCTCGCTGTCCACCTGGGGTCGGCGGTTGGTACGGCAGTACGGCAGGTTAGGTTGCTGGAAAGGATGCTGGAAAGAAGGAGGAGGCGGTTGAAGGGAGCAGGGGCAGGAGGGAGGAGGTTCAAAAGGGCAAAGAGTGGGCCATGAGAGCTGGAAAGAGGTGTTGAGGCGAGAGCACAGAACGGGAGGGGAACCGGTATGCAGCCCCTAGGGCCGGGGCAGCATTCCGCGCTTAGGATGCGGCAATGAACCCCCTTTCCACGATCTGGAGCTCCCAATCGGAGCCTCCAAAGGGGTAGACATCCCCTTTCCGACATCCTACCCACCAGCAACGGAAAGGTAAGTCCGTAGCAGCTGGGCGCCTCCGCCGCCCCTGACCCTGCGCTGCCCTCTGCCGCCTCTCCCGACCCCGCAGCGGCTGCTCCTGACCCCGCTGCTGCGCCCCCGCCTCCCAGCAGCTTGCGTATGAGGTCCGTCCCCGCGGTGATGTTGCCCCACTGGTCGCTGCCGCCGATCTGGGGGCAGAGGGCGCGGCACACGACACAAACGGTTAAGACATTACGAGGGCGGTGGATGTTCCGGACGGGCTGGACACAGGTGTCGGAAAGCTCACCAAGCGTACAAGCGAGGATCACCTCCACAGCTCCACTCTCCTCACTTACCTTCACCTCTCCCACCCGCACCCAAGACCCTCCCCATCCCTCCCCACCCCACCTGCACCCTGACCCCGTGTTCCCTGCACAGGTGCACGAAGTCGTACCCCTGCAGCAGCTGGTAGGTGAACTCGGTGAAGCTGATGCCCTGCTCGCTCTCCATGCGGGTGCGGACCTGGGGGGTCAAAGACCATACCAAACCATAGGAGACCACAAGTTAGGGCAAAGCAATGGGGTTAGGAGTTGGCAGGGCGCCACAAGACAAAGTGTTGGTTAGTATGGGGAGGGGCCAGGGGGGCAGGGGGGCGGTGAGGCGGGGCGCAAAGAGGTACGGAAGACCAAGTTGTGCACGGGGGTGGGGGTGGGGACAAGGGAGGAGGAAGGGGGCACGGTGGTGAGTGGCATGGGTGCGGGGCTTGCGAAGTAGGGGTTCGCGGTGTGTTATGGCTTTTCCCCGTTCACAGGGGCCTTCCTTTCCTCGCTCTATCACGCGCAATAGGGCCCCACCCGTGCGGCCCCAACCCTTCTCCCTCCCTCCCCCTCCCTCCTTCCTCCCTCTCTCCCCCTCCCTCCCTCCCTCCCTCCTCACCGAGTCCTTGGCCATCATGCTGCCCACCCGCGCGAACTTGCCCACCTCCCGCAGGAAGGTCAGCAGACCCATGGGTCCGAACCAGTCCAGGTTGTTGAGCACCCGCACGGCCGGCGCGCCAGGCGGGCTGTTGCGCTGCAGCAGGGTGCGCAGCAGGGAGCCGATGGCTGCGGAGGAGGGTGGGGGGGGCCGGGGGCAGGGGTCGGGGGGGGGGTTGCTATATTGGCGGTGAAAAGAGGGGCAGAGGATGGGTAGGGAAGGCTCGGGGGTCACTCTTCCCCCTCCCCACCTGGTTCGTCCTGGAGTAAAGGCCCCCGCCGCCCGCAACCCACACAGCCACACAGCTGGTAACCCCACAGCCCCCTTCCTTGCATGTGCTTGTGACCTTCCGTCCTGGCGTTCCATCCCCTCCCCCGTCTGCCCCTCCTCCCGTCCTCACAACCCCTCCCTCGCAGGGCCCCCTCCCCCGCTCCCCCCACCCCCACCCTGCACGTTCCGCTCTATCTGCTGCTCCTCCAGCACGGGCCGCTCCGCACTGCGGCCCGAGGGGTCGCCCACCCGCCCCGTGGCACCGCCCAGCAGCACCACCGGCTGGTGGCCGCACCTGGAGGGGGGAGGGAGGCGGGCAGGACGGGGTAGGGAGGGGGAGGAGGAGGGTGGTAAGGGGAAAGGAGGAGGAAGGGAGAGGTGGCCGCTGGAACCTACCTCTTGGCGGGTCCGGGCTCATCCCCCCGGTCCCCTGGCTTCCCCTCCCACCTCCGAAACCACCGCTCTTCCTCCACCCTGACAATGATCCCGCCAGTTAAACAACACAGCTCAACACCCACCCACCCACCCACCCGCCCCCCCGCCCGCACCTCTGGAACCATGACAGCACCACGATGCCCAGCAGGTTCCCCAGGTGCAGCGAGTCCGCCGTGGGGTCGAAGCCGCAGTACACCGCCAGCCGCCCCGCACCGGCCGCAGCGGCCAGCTCCGCCTCGTTGGTCACCTCCGCCAGCAGGCCGCGGGAGCGCAGCAGCGGCAGGATGTGGGAGCGAGGGTGGGGCTGCTGGGGGTCTGGGGCAGGGCAGGGTGGAGGAGAGGAGAGGAGGGTATGGTGGGGGAGGTAAAAGAGGAAGGAACTGACGAGCTGTGTAGAGGGGGAGGGAGAGGGGGAGGGTAAAGTGCAAAGCTAGCCATACGATGAGGTTGCACCATGGGCTGCACTATGGGAGGGAGGGAGGGAGGGAACTGGAAGTGGGCCTGAACAGGAAAGGCTTGTGTAAGCGAGGGAGACGCGTAGGATCTCGACCGGCTCTCCGGAGATAGGTGTTGGCCTAGGCCGCGTAGGATAAAGCCAGCCATGGGGCCAGACAAGAACCCTTCCTCGGGCCTCCTCATGAACCCTTATGAGCAGGCTTAGAGGTGCCCCATGCTATGCATTGCATGCCGGCTACCGATGGCGGTTCAATGGCTCCATCATCCGGCTGCTAACACGCACCTGCGGTTGAGGTCTCCACCGGGGCCTCCGTGACACCGACCGGGGAAGAAGAGCTGTTACATGCCACATTCCCTCTCAATCGACTGCCCTGAAAGGGTGTACGTCTGAAACGCCGGTCCGAACCCGACCTGTGGCAGGTAAGGCAACATACATTGCGAACCGGTCGGTCAAGACTTACAGGATTTGGGCTACTCTTAGCAATATGTCATCAATGCAACGGGGAGACAGTCGTGTACTTAAGGCGACGGCTTGGGGTTAGAGGACTGCAAGTAAGTAAAAGCACCTTGTCGGTTTGGGCGCTAGACGCTGCTGCAGTAGCATGGCGCCTCGCAACAATACGCGATGGAAATGTTACTTTGCAGTGTCCAGCTCAGTCATGTTACCCAATGAGCCGGAGCCGTACAGTGCTCATGCCCCGAGCCATTAGCGATAAGCCTCCGCAACTTGAAACTGTACAAACGTTGTTATTACTTGCAAGCGATCACTATTGCACGATACATGGTTTATAACGCTGCGTAGTTGATTGCTTGCGTAGGCGATTGCAAACGTGTTACGTCCAGGTTTACAGTTTGTCAGAACCCATGAGCAACTACACATTTTAAACATAAATTTAACACAATGGTATTTTTATTGGTCGGCCGTTCTGCGCTAGGAGCAGGTTGCCGACAGCCGTCAGTGTCGTCGTTGCAGTTTGCTGGGGGAGCGCTATCACGGTTGATAGCAACGACAGTTTCGGAAGGTTCCATACCAACATCTTGCAGTCGCACCAGTGTTGGCGAGCCTTCTCTGGCGGGCGCGACCATCAGTCTACCGAATTTGCAAGACACACGCATATCAGCTGGGGCATCTCTGTCAGCATGCATATCTACACCTGGGGGTGCTCTAGGGCAACGCTTAAGTGGCATCGCGGACGGAAGCGTGTTGTCGTTCCGTCAATCAACCGCTCAGCCTGCGCCAACAAACTGGACCATTCACCAGACGAACAGCCGTTACCAGCGGCGTTCCACTTTCTGTGACTTCACTTCATCGTCCAGCTCACACCTCTCCCCGCTGCGGCGCGACTTTCACTCGTCATCCTCCGCATCTTCATCCGCACCGCCCGCGGCTCGGGATCCCTCCAAAATTCGCAACTTTGCCATCATCGCTCACATCGATCACGGCAAGACGACGCTCATGGATCGGCTGCTAGCTGCATGCGGCCACGGCAGCAGCGAAGACCGGGCCATGGACAGCCATTCACTTGAGAAGGAGCGCGGAATCACCATTCTTGCCAAGGTACTTTGGTTGGGCTGCGGCACAAAGATACAATGCCCTCAAGAGTGTACAAGTGAAAGAAAAGGGCAGGATTTAGGGCTAGGGCTATCGCTTTGGGGGCCCTGGATGCGCAGCCGTGTACGGCGTCCCATGGGTCAGTGTGAAGCTTGCAAGGAGAGTGTCAATTACCGTCAGGCCGTGTAGCCCCCATAATGTGGTTGCGCCACAAAGCTTCGTAACAGCCAATTACTAGTATCTCTCTTACTTAGGTCACGAGCTTCACGTGGGGCGACTACTACATCAACGCGGTGGACACACCGGGGCATGCGGACTTTGGTGGGGAGGTGGAGCGGTGAGCTGTGTGTGTGGTGGGGGGGAGATGGGGCCTCCGCCATTTGTGAGGGAGGGAGGGAGGGAGGCACGGGGCACGTCCCCTCGTAGGGGTGACGTTACCTAAGTTCCCTACCTATCACGGTGGCTTGATGGTGTGTCCAGGTCTTCAGCTGTCTGGGCCATGCACCAGTTGCCTCGTTGTTAGTACCCTCCTGCACTCACCCTGCTCTCCTCCCACTGCCTGCCGTGCCTCTGCTCCCTCCCCCCTCCCCCTGTCCCCCCCTGTAGCGTGTTGGGTCTGGTAGACGGCTGCGTGCTGCTGGTGGACGCGGCGGAGGGGCCGCTGGCGCAGACCAAGTACGTGGTGGCGAAGGCGCTGGCGAGGGGGCTGCGGCCCATCGTGCTGCTCAACAAGGTGGGGGAGGGGGCAGGGGAAAAAAAGGAATATGTGAAACAACGAGTCCCAATCCCATATCCCGACTCATGCAGTGAGCGCATTAGGAGACACTATCCTAGAAGCACGCAAGCACGCAGGGGAGGAGGAGGGCATGGAGGGGGCGGCAGGGAAGAAGTAGAATAATGCTCATTGGCGAAGTCCGACCATTGGCATCTCGGCGAGGGCTGCGACCTGCTTGGGAGCCTGGCAGGCGGGCGGAGGGGGATTTGAAAGTTGCGAAGTTGTAGGCTTCTACAGGTCCACATTCCGCTACCTTTCCTTTCCTCCTCCCCTCTCCCTCCCCTCCCCCGCCCAGGTTGACCGGCCCGCCGCTACCCCCGAGCGCTGCGCCGCGGTGGCCAACTCGCTGCTGGACTTGTTCGTGGGTCTGGGCGCCTCGGACGAGCAGCTGGACTTCCCGCTGCTGTACGCATCGGCAAAACAGGTGCGGAGGGGGGGGCGAGGGGAGGAGGGGAGGAGGGGGATAGGGTTGGGAGGTGCTGCTGCTGTGCATTGGTGGTACTGGGTACTCTCCGGTCATACATGCCTCAAACCCCGCCCCTGCTCTGGGTCTTATGTCCCAGGGCCTCCTCCGTAACCACCGTAAGCCTCCTCAGCACTGCCCTGCGCCTCCTGTCAACGAAACACACCGCCCCCTCCGCACCCCGCGGCAACACCCACCCACCCCCTCCGCGCACCCCCCCAGGGTTGGGCCTCCCGCTCGCTCCCCCCCAACCCCGCGCTGGGCTGCCCCGAGGGCATGTCGCCGCTGCTGGACACCATTGTGGCGCACGTGCCGCCGCCGGCCGCCGCGGAGGAGCTGGGCGGGCCGTTCAAGATGGGGGTGGCCATGATCGAGCGGGACCCCTACGTGGGGCGCATCGCCACGGGGAGGGTGGCGGCGGGCAGGGTGCGGGTGGGGGATAAGGTAAGGTGGGAGGTGGTAGGAGGGTGGGCAGGGAGGAGGTGGGGAAGGTGGGTTTGCGGTGGGTAGGGGGGTGCTGGGGGTTAGGAGGGGTTATGTGGTCGGAAAGTGCGGTTGGGTGGCCCGAATGACGCAGGTGGAAGGTGTGGGTGGTGGGCCGGGGTGAGGTTCCGTCGGGGCCTCCACGGGGCGGCAACAAAGGGGGTGCTCCTTGGGTGATGGTTGGGTGCAGACGCGTTGGTTGGGAGGCAGACGTGGGTGGGGATACAGACCTCACCTACTGCTTCCCGTCCTCCCCTGCCGGCCCCTCCCTGGTGCAGGTGCGGGTGCTGAGTCACGAGTCCCAGGGCCCGGTGGGTGAGGAGGTGCGGGTCACGCGCATCGCCAAGCGCAGCGGAATGAGCAAGGTGGGCAGGGAGGGGGGCGGTTGGACAGGGGGCAGGAATGGCGAGGAGGGCCTAGGCAAGGGCGCTAGCTTTAATGATTTGTCAGGCAGGAACATACGGCTCGCAGGTCGGCTCGTACCTTGCATGCGCGATGTGCTGGTTGTTAGGATGGTCCCAGTTCTCCTCCCTACAGCCCTAGGATCCGACTTCAGAAGTTGGCCCCAGCTACTTCCCCACTTCTATCCTGTCCTGCTGTGTCCTGCCCGCCTGCCTGCCTGCCGTGGCTCGCCAGCCCTCGCGCCGATGCCCTCTACGCCCCCATTGGGAGCTTGGTGTTCTCTTCCTGACGCCCCCAACCCGGCCCCCCCTCCCCGCCCCCTCCCTCACAGATCCAGCTGGACGAGGCGGTGGCCGGGGACATCGTGTCCGTTGCGGGAGCGGGTGAGGGGAGGGGAGGGGCTAGGGGGGAGGGGGGAGGAGACGACGGAGGGAGGTCGCCCGCCCATTCAGGTCCCGGCTACTGCTGGGGGGGATTCTGTTGCTTGATGCACGTTATGCGTGCACGTCACCCTACATACACGGGGTCGTGACATGTGCGCTGCTGCCGGCCGTCTAGCTGCCACTGACCCGCGGGTCACCCCCCCCTGCTGCTGCTGCGCAGGTGCTGCTGGCATCGCGGACACCATTGCCAGCCCCGAGGTGACGGAGCCCATGGACCCGGGCCGCGTGGACCCGCCCACACTGGCCATGGTAGGGCGGGGGGGCGCCGGGAGCGGTAAGGGGGGGGGTCTAGGCGGAGGTGTGGGTGCTGGAGGCGTGTTTGGGTCCGCATTCCATTTCTATGCACCGAAAACTCACTACAGTTAACCTCCGTTCGGAGCGCAAACGAACGCTTTCCGTTCAACCCTCTTCCTTACCGCATGCCCCACTGCTGGTCTCCCTCGCCTCCTGCCGCCCCCCCTCCCAGGTGTTTGGCCCCAACGACTCCCCGCTGGCCGGGCGGGCTGGCAAGGCGCTGACGGGTCGGGCCATCGGTGAGCGGCTGCAGGCGGAGGCGGAGACCAGCGTCAGCCTCAAGGTGAAGCAGGTGCCAGGTGAGGCAGGCAGGCAGGCAGGCAGCAGGGGTGGGAGGGGTGAGGGGCATGCGCCGGGAGAAGCAGCTGATAGGACATGTGCCCCACAGCTGGTACAGGTGCAGCGCCGGTAAGTGCGCCTGAGTGGCCGGTGCCTGGTAGGCAATCGGCAGGGGGGCCCGCGCCTGTGCATCTCCGGGTGTGTGCGCGAGTACACCGTAGCAGGCGGATGGCATGGGGCTCTCCCTCCTGTTGACGTCGCGCTAGCAGCACGGGCTATCCAACATCGCATCTCCCTCCCTCTCCCCTCCTCCTCCCCCTCCCCCCCCGCAGGCGGTACCGAGCGCTACGAGGTCCAGGCTCGCGGCGAGCTGCAGCTGGGGGTGCTGATTGAGAGCATGCGGCGGGAGGGCGCGGAGCTGGCGGTGTCGCCGCCGCAGGTGCTGCTCAGGTGGGTGGGGGGGTGGGGGGGAAGGTGGAAGGGTGGGGGGAAGGTGGAAGGGTGGGGGAAGGTGGAAGGGTGGGGGGGGATATGTGCACGCATGTCGGTACGTGTCAAGCAGGGCAAGGGCTGGGCAATACAGGCATGACAAGAGCGGTCGAAGGAGGGTATGTGTTTGTGTAAGTCTGTAGGGGCCGTGCATGTGCCAAGCCAGGTCCTAGCTGCCTCCCCCCTCCCCCCTTCCAGGCGTGATGAGCACGGCCAGGTGTTGGAGCCGCTGGAGGAGGTGATGGTGGAGGTGGCGGACGAGGTGGCGGGCACGGTGCTGCAGGCGCTGTCGCAGCGGCGGGCGGAGATGGTGGACATGGCGCCGCTGCCGGACATGGGTGAGGGCAGCAGGGGGGCGGGAGGGGGGGAGGAGACCCGAGGGGAGAGCTGGGGCGCTGGGGCTGGGAGGAGGTGAAGCAAGGGTGGAGGCAGAGCTCGGGGTGTAGGGTTTTCTTGATGCATGGCTGCTTTGATGCTGGGTTAAGGCGACCGACCTCCTCACCCCCACCGCCTGGTGCGTGCCTCCTCCTCCCCGCCGCAGGCAAGCAGCGCCTGACCTTCATCGCCCCCTCTCGCGGCCTCATCGGGTTCAAGTGAGAGCTGGGGGGAAGCGGGGATGTGCGGGTGGTTGGGGGCATGTGAGGCGCCCGCGCTGTAAAAGCCTGTAAGCAAAGGGCCAGCGACTTCGAAAACGATGATAGGAGCGGGCGGCGACGGGATTGCTGTGTGCACCATGATGAATCATAAGAGGGAAGGCAAAGGAAGGCCGCACGAACACCCCTTTAGCAGGGTCCGCATCCGCGCCACAAGGTGCCCTCTCCGCTCTGGCTCTCATCACTTTCATCCCTATCACCATTCACCTACCGTCCCCTCACCCCCACCCCCCCACCACCTCCTCCCTCCCCCCCTGCAGGAGTGTGTTCGTGCACCTGACCCGCGGCGAGGGCATCATGTCTCGGGTGTTCCTGCGGTACGCGCCGCACAAGGGGCCGCTGGACGGAGTGCGCAAGGGTGAGAGTTGGGGGGAGGGGAGGCAAGGGGGGGCCAGGGCGGCTCCAAGGGGGGGGCAGAACACGGGTGGAGACGCCTCGCATTTGTCTTGGCAACGTGGACGTCCTCCTACCAGTATCCCCCTTGTTCCCTTGTTGCCTGCCTGCGCCCAGGTGTGATGATCTCGCTGGCGGAGGGCAAGGTGTCCACCTACGCGCTGGGCGAGCTGCAGAGCCGCGGCACCTTCTTCGTGACCCCGGGGGCGGACGTGTACGGCGGCATGATCATCGGGGAGCACTCCAGGGAGGACGACCTGGATGTGAGGCGGGGGGGGGGGAGGGGGGTGGGCGGATGGGGGGGCTGTGTTGGGCGGATCTGGGAGCGCGCGCATTGGCACGTTGCCAGATGTGGTGTCATTCCCACACCCACTCACTCAAGCATACCTGCCTAACGCCGCCACCTCTCCCCCGTTGTTTCCCCAATATCTCCTTCACCTCTCCTCATCCTCCCTCCCTCCCTCCCTTCTCCTCGGAGCTAGTCATCTTGCTCGCAACATCATTCAACACAGTGGGTACTCTTCTCCCCCTCTCCCCCCCCGCTGCGCAGGTGAACCCCGTGAAGGAGAAGAAGGCCAGCAACGTGCGCACGGTGGCCAGCGACGACAAGATCTCCCTGGGCGCCCCCCGCCTCATGACGCTGGAGGACGCAATCGGGTAGGGGAGGAGGCAGGGGCAGCCCAGCAGCGGCACGTCGCACATGCCCCCGCAAGCCGCACATCGGGGCCTATTTGCGCAACCAACCTACCGAGCCTGCTTCTAACCATAACCACAACCGGACAGACATGGTTTCTGATGGTTTCTGCCGCTGTCTCGTTTGCCCTACAATCCGTCTTTTGGGTGTTCCAAGCTTTGCCACGCCTCCGTGTCATGTGCCCTCCCTCCCTCCCTTCCCCTCCCTTCCCCCCAGGTATGTTGCGGAGGATGAGCTGATCGAGGTCACCCCGGCCGCCATCCGGCTGCGGAAGGAGATCCTGGACGCGGGCGTGCGGCGGACTCGCGCTAAGCGGGCGGCACAGCAGAACCAGTAGTAGTAGTTGTTGTGGTAGTAGTAACATGCAGTGATCAGGGACAGGGTGAGCGGCATGTGATGTTTGGGCTGCTGTTGCTGCTGCTGTTGTGGGGTAGGGGTTTGCGAGCAGAGTGGCACCGCACCGATAAGGGGTCAAAGCCAATTTGGTTGGATGCGAGGTTTGTGTTTGGACGATGGAGGAGGATTGTAACAGCTGCCGCCTGTGGATCTCGTTCGGCTGAAGCCTGGAGGATTCCCGTTCGCCTCAGCTAAGCTGCAGCAACCAGGAAACCATGCGAAGTAACGGCCAGTAACGGCCAGTAACTCGCTTACTACGGTCTGCTGACCGGAATGCGTACACAAGTTCAGCGACTTTAAGCGTAGCAACGCGTCGTTTATGTAGGAGCAGGGAGGACTGTCGCGTCCGCACAGTTAACCTGCGCTGCCGAAGCAGCCAGGCGCGGCCGTGAGCAACTCCCTTTGCATGCCTTCCACAGGAGCACATGCTAGTCCAGGAGCTTGTAGTACATCTATCCTTCCCGCAAGCAAAGATGCGGGCATGCCACGGTGCAACTGCCCCGTACGGCGGTACGTCAAAACTCAGCATGCCCCCAATAAAACGTCAGCTGTCCTCACAAGAAGTTAACTTGAGTTGGAAGTAGATAGCAAGGTGCCCAATGACGAAGTCCAAGCAGCACTGCGGCTGGTCCTCCATCAAGCGCCCGGAGCTTCCGCCCTGGGTCTACAAGCTGCGACGCCGGATCTGGGAGTTCATTGAAGACCTCTTTGAGGTGGGATTGACTACTCTGCTTCCTGTGAAACCTTTTCTGTCTTCACGAAAGAGGCGAGCCAACGTGCAATTCAAAATACGCCGTCGCAGGAGTTCGGCCCGTGGATTAAGTGGCTCATCTTCGACGCCCTCCTTACCCTAATTGTCGGCTTTATTGCTTCTCGATTTGAGGCGACTCGTCGGCTGTTTGAGCTTGTGGGCTGGCTGTAACGTGCAAGCCGTGCGGCTTTCTCTCAGCGAAGTATCAATTGATATTACCTATCAAACTTATATAGCGCTAAGCTTTAGCTACCAACCCTAAAGGCTTAGGCGACCTTTGTTGAGAGGCGTCCAGGCATGTTGGCTCCCGCGAACTGGCGGCAAGCGCTTTTCCAACTAAAAGCAGCTGAACAGCATCATGCCTGGCAGCTTCGAGAAACTGAACTGGTAAGCAGCGGACAGGCACGGTCTTTTATAGATGGCTTTTGTCGCCAACTGTCAATGTACGCATGCCAACCTCCGTGCAGGGTCCCTACCTAGCGCTTGAGGGTGTGCCTCGGCAGCGTAAGCAGGTGAGTGTGTGCGTGTACTCCTCCCCTGTGACTTACATTAGCAGTAGCCCCTGGTAGCTACGGGAGGTTTGACTGTGAAGGGCAGGGTATCTGAGTGCAACCAGGGCCTGTGAAGTTACCTTCCTGGTAGTTTAGGCAACGCTGCTCATATGCCCCTGGTACAGGCTGGCCGAGAAGGGGATCCTGCACCTCCTGCTCTCCTGGACTTCCACGTTTGTTACAGCCCGTCGTACCAGGTCCCTCTCATGTGCTTCCGGGCGATGTCCTTAGGTACGACTGGGTAGGTGGAACTACATCAGGCACGCAATCTGCTCCCCTGAGACACGC